CTACCAAGGAACTACTGGCCGACACGACCACGATGAACGACATCCTTTCGCAACCAGCCAAGAAACAACCACGGACAGAGACCCGACGTCCACAGAACAACAGTAACCAGTATCGACAACCCAAGGGCAGAGGCAAGCACACCTGGGGCAACAAAGGGTACCAGACCACTTCGTACCCATACAACAACCAGCCATACGCGACCTGGGGACCAACCCAATTCGCCATCCCCGCCATCCCCTCGATGCCTACAACCCCAGGACCCTCGTTCAAGGGCGACACACCCAAAGGAAAGAAGGGGTCCGGGAAAGGCAAGAAAGGCACCAAATCCCACGGGAAGAACAAGGCGCGTTAGGGACAGCACGGCCCAGGGGACCAGTCCCCTGGAGCCGACCCGGCGCGTTGCCTCCATCTTACCAGACAACTCATACAACACACGCCCATTATCCTGCTCTCAGTTTTCGACGGGATCGGCACAGTGTCACTTGCCCTGCACCAACTGGGCGCCAACGTCTCCCACTGTTTCCGGTGGGAAACCGATCAGTCCTGCAATCAGCTACCTCATTCACTCTTCCCCACGACGCACATGGGCGCCGTAGAAGATTTTGACATCGAACAACTGGCTGCGATCATCCAGGACATACCCAATCACGAGAGACACATTATCCTCTTCACCGGTGGCCCACCGTGCAAGGACTACTCCAACATTAAACAACACCAACCGGGCCGGGCCGGCTCACAGGGCAGCCTCTTCGACACCGCACTCTCCATCCGCGACGACATTCAGAACAGATGGCCACATCAATCGCTCACCCTGCTAGAGAATGTCGTGCCTCACCCCGAGGTACGCGACGACTTCGACCAGCTGTCCCACTCCATGGGCCTACGCCCAGTCCTGATCGACGCGGCCGACGGACAAATCATCTCTCGTCCCAGAATCTGGTGGGCCTCGGTCGATTGGGAATCCTTGCCTGCCACATTGAGCAGGCATACACCTTGGCAACTCTCCATCGACACTCAGCTGTTCCCACCGGTGCTCTTCAATCCCATTGCAGCCGAACTACAACCAGACTGTCACATCCGGGACTTCGACCCGCCGAGTGTCCTAACACACGGACAACTCTTCCACTGCCTTACCACCCAGGCCAGTACGGACGAAGGCCGCCCACCACCACGCAGCCAACAACTACCAGACGACACATGGCAACGGTGGCAAGCCGACCACAAACAATTCGCCCCGTGGCAATACCAACAGAAATACCTGGTCCGGAAACACGGACACGACTGGCAAGTCGCAACACCCGAGCACCGCGAAGCAATGATGGGATTCCCGCGCGGCTGGACGGGACCACACAACACCGACCGGACCAGGAACACCATGCTGGGGAACTCCTGGCATGTGCCCACAGCCATGTGGATCCTATTCCTTTTGCTACTACAGCCAGCCTTCGGGATTCCCCCGCCCACGCAGCGGGTACGTCGCGGATCCCTCGGAATGATGGTCGACCTCTGGCTTCACAACCCACGACCATGGGGACCACCTCCGAGAGCATCAGAAACGCTACATATGCCACAGAACGACTGGCAGGACCACTTGACCTGGGCCAAACACCACGCGACCTCGCTGCAACAGCCCCAGCACTGCGACCCGACCATTTTGTGGGCCATCGCAATGCAAAGGACCATACCACAACTGCCACAACTACAGCACAACGTGTTACGCGACATCGCGGACCTTCGCGATGACCTGACTACGGATACACTTGCATGGTTCGAACAGCTGCCCCCACACTGCCAGCGAGCCTATCGACAACCGAAGATGATCACTCAGGTACCACTCATGACACACTTGCTACATTTGCTTAACTACCCACAGGCACAACTCCTGCACGAGGAACTCTCTCTAGGCTTCGACCTCCTGGGGCCTCTGCGACCCGGAGTCAATTGGCACATTCGCCACGACCACAAATACCTGGACCCATGTGACCTTGCAGAACTCAGGTCATTCAACAAAGCCTACATCCAGCGCAAATTACAACAACACAAGATCGACGACCACTGGACTCTTATGGCCACCGAAATCGCGGGGGAAGTGGCCCAGGGACGTATGGCCGGCCCCTTCGAGGCACCGACTCATTGGACCTCTCGCACAGTACCCCTGCACCTTTTCCCCCACACCAGCCGGCTCCTTCCTATCCCACATCGCGATCCCATTGTGGCAGTCGCATTCAGCATACAACAGACCGGATCGGACGGAAAACCCAAAGTCCGGAGAGGAGAAGACTGGCGCCGCAGCGGCCACAACCAGACGTGCTCTATGCACGATCAACCATACCATCACACACCCGACCACTACATCCAATGTGCGAGACAATATCACGACGACACACACCCGCTACATGTGTGGGGACACGACCACGACGGCGCCTACCGTCAACTGCCCCTCGCACAACCGGAGGTAGCATACGTGCTGCTCATCACACCCGACGGCCCAACTCTCTGGCACCACCACGTACTCCTGTTCGGCTCCGCTGCCAGCGTCTGGGGCTACAACCGCTTCGGCGATGCACTCACAGCACTCGCCCGCGTACTAACACTCACACCGGCCCTGCACTACGTTGACGACTACGGGGCCATACAACCCAGTCACATCGCGACCAGTTCCTTCTCCTCATTCAGCAAGCTCAACTCACTACTTGGATTTCATATGAAGACATCCAAGGAACAACCACCGGCGCCCTCTCACAAAATACAAGGGGTTTATGTCGACCTGTCGGCAACACACGCAACCCTTCGACCGTGCCCAGACCGAGTCCGTACACTGTCACACACCCTGTCTCAGTGTCTCGAACAGGGAGGTATGTCGAACGACACCGCCCGACGCACTGCCGGCAAGTGCAACTTTGTCACCGGACACCTGTTCGGTCGAGTAGGGCGATCGGCGTTAGCCGCCCTATACCACAAAGCACACAGCACTTCCGACCGGATCGACAAACCAACTCGAGCTGCCATTCTGTGCCTCCTGAATATCCTGCAACATAGCTCACCCCGCAGCGTCCCACTGTCCACCAGGCCCAGAGACCTCTCAATCATATACACCGACGCGTTCTGCCGGCAGGGCGAGACGGTCTGGCGTGTCAAGGACGCAGGGGATCGGGATTGTCTGCCACCCGATTGGTCGCACGACAACGGATGGGCAGCGGTGCTGTTCAGCCCACAGGCACAAAGGACCCGCGTGGTCTCGGGCGCACTACCCCCTAACTTACTCCAACAAGTGAGTACTGGCACCAACGCCATTTATTTCCTCGAGGCATGGGCCGCGTTGATCGCTCCTGTGATCTTTCGACCATGGATCACTGACACATACCTCCAGTTGTGCGACAACGAAGCGGCCAAACACGCCATCAGACGGGGAGTTGGGAAACACCAACCACTAAACTGCCTGCTCGGTGCACATTGGACATGGCACAACCGACAGCAATTGCAGTTGCATATTGCCCGTGTGCCCACACATGCTAATATAGCCGACCCCTTCAGTCGACATGACATGTCCCTTGCCTCGAAGCACCACTGGCAGATTCTGGAACCCCCCATGCACGCTCTACATAAACGGACGTGCAAAATCATTGGCGATATTGAGTTCGCCCATGCCGTCGGATTTGACGACATAAAGGAACTCCAACAGTTCCACAGGAATCATTCCTCCTGAACCCGACTTGACTTCCACGTCCCGTGAGAATCTTGTCCACAGTAAGGAGACTTGATCGATGTAAGGATGCCTTCAACGTGCCTTTTGTCTAGGTCGTTCGCCTTCGGCTTCACCTTCGACGGGAGTTGACCTACGACGGGAGAACGTCCACTCCCTCTTCGAAACTCTGCTGTACAACATTTTGGGTTTGCATGCACTTGCATTTGCTTACCTTTTATTTGTTGTACTTTACTTTCGAGTCAGTGGTGTCTGAGAGACACGCACACCGACTCCAGAGATTGAAACAGATCGACCAACAGGTACGATCCCACCCACTTGAGGCAGTGCGGTGAAAATAAATCGACCGACGCTGGTTGCCGTCGTACTCTCTGGAGCGGTTTGTTGTTGCGGTTAACACTTGTGTTAAAAGTAACAACCGATAGCGGAAGGCATTTGAATCACACTCAGATTCGAACCTTGAGTGCCTGCAGGATGACACTGCTTGATTCATGCTCCGTTCGCCATTTTGGCGAATTAGCCAAATTTTTCTTTCCCACCCACCCTCACCAGTTTTCACTGCATGCCCTCAGTACCTGTCGGTCTGCATTTATAGCATCGAGTGAGAGGACGGGAGAACGTCCACTCCCTCTTCGAAACTCTGCTGTACAACATTTTGGGTTTGCATGCACTTGCATTTGCTTACCTTTTATTTGTTGTACTTTACTTTCGAGTCAGTGGTGTCTGAGAGACACGCACACCGACTCCAGAGATTGAAACAGATCGACCAACAGGTACGATCCCACCCACTTGAGGCAGTGCGGTGAAAATAAATCGACCGACGCTGGTTGCCGTCGTACTCTCTGGAGCGGTTTGTTGTTTGCGGCCCTCTTTGTATTCTTCGGTTTTGAGTAGACCACTTGAATATCAAAAGCACTAGTGCGTGCTTCCGCTTTTTTGCCTAGGGTGCAAATGTTTCTGTCATGTTGCAATGTTTGATTTGAGGTGGAAGTGGTCATGACTACTTCATTTGTTGGCTTCTCGGGAAAATGCAAATGCTTGTCCAGCCGGTCCCCCACAGAAAAATGTTCGCGGCAGTCCATGGTGCATTTGCAGAAGACATAGGACTATCCACTGTTCGATATTTTGGTACAACAGGTGCGTTGCTCAAATGGGTGTCTTTTTTTGAGGGAGCCTCTTTTGTTGTGGTCTTGAAAGGGAAACCAAAAGAAACACCACTACTTGTTGGGAAATCCATGAAAAAGACACCTCAATGAACAATCCGCAAAGCTTTCTCTGTCTTGCCCGATTGCTGAGGACAGTCTGATGTCCTTCTACTGGCAGGATCCGCGCGAAAGTGTTGTGAGATTTTGCACAGGGCTGGATCTCATGGAAGCTCACGGTGGGCTTTTGGAAGAGGATTCCATGGCTGAAAGCCGTCAACTTGGATTTTATTTCTGAGCGCAAACTCGCTAAAGCTTCAGGATCCATCTGGGGAAATGGTGCCCGAACTTGATGGATTTTGGTTAGCTCGGGCATGATTGAAGGTTCCTTTCACAGGGTTGTGGCCCCTGCAACAAGATCGACTGCTCGGGTTCTCTTGGCCTACGCAAAGGAGAAAGCAACCAGCTGTTTCCATACCCCTTCCGGGGGAGGGAGGTATTTGTTCGGGGGTTGTTCAAAGGGTGGGTACATTGTTGCAGGGTGACCTTGTTCGACCCCTTAAAAAAAATAAACAAACTCCGAGGCATGTTGATCCATTTTTTGTTTTGCAAAACCCCCCCTTCAAGTCCAAGTGACAGTTCAAAGCCAAATTTTCAACTACAACATTTAGTGCTGACAACAACATAAAAGTTGTTCACACCTCTGCAGATTGACATGGAACCCCAAATCCATAGGTGTTTGGCGAATCCTTCTCCGTTTCGGGGTTCCTTTTACCCTCCTGTTCACTAATGAACTTGGAACCTCAGGGTGGGACCATTTTCCTTTCAGTTGGACCCTCTGGTATTTTTTGTTTTGTTTTAATGTTGGACAGGAGGGTATGCTTTGCTCTGGCTCAAAACTGTTCACCCGACAGAACAAAACCCGGTGAGCCGAAAACGGATCCGTCGCGCCAGGAGATGGGCGCCAGCCAGCTGGAGATCAGCGACTGGAGCGACGGCGAGAGCTTCGTCTCCGTGGTCAAGGGCAAGGCCTCGGAGTCGGAGCGACTGGAGCGCCGCTTTGGGGTTGGCCTCGAGTTCCTGGACTTCAAGCACTTTTGGGGGTTTGGACCATTTTGGTGGTAAATGGCAAGTTCAGACTTTTTGTGGCCAATCCAAGCAGGAAGTGAGATGGGCATCAACCCTCTTAAGGGGTGACCCCTAGGAAGCCATGATTGTCCACAGAAGCTTTGACCATATTGTATTGCCATTGTAGGTGAATCCACTGCTTGGTTTCATGGGGATGGCAACTTCTACATAGACCAGAAGCTTAGTAGAACCCTCTGCCAAATGCAGAAGACCAAGAGTCAATGTGACTTTTTTTGTTTTTTGGGGGGGGCACTCTTTGGAGCAAATCCCGGGGTCTGAGCAAAACCTTCCATTCCACTAATGGTCATGGATGGAAACGCCCTAAAAAACGAAAGGGCCTCGGGCCGTGATCAGTCGTCATGTTTTCCGCTCCATGGTTCCCCACCGCCCCCTTTGGGCACGTTCAGATCTGGAATGGCCGCGCATACATACTATTCACGAATCAGAATAAAGTATCCATAGTATCCTCAGAATCACGGGAGCTTGTCTTACCCAGGTGAATGTGTCTTGAATTGCCCACAACCCCAGACAGACGTAAAGCCAGGCACCGTATGTTTGATTGCAAAGACTGATGAATTTCCACGAGCAAACAAGTCAGGCAACCATGCCCTTCAGCGAACACCACACACAATGTATGTTGTCGGTGTTTCCTATTATGTAGACATGCCTACGCACATAGACATGATATTATGTAGATGTATATGTACATCATATTCAGCAGTCAGGCCGTAGCCCAACTCACTCTTTAAGTCTACATTGGGTTCACTCGACGGTTGGCCAACCAAAGTGTACTTTGCATACACTACAGTTGTGCTGAACAGTTGCGGCTTTGGATCCGGAGCTGCCAAGGTGCTCTTCATATTCTACACTTGTTCCGAAGGTTTGCGGCTTCCGAGGTGCACGATACTAACCGCCACTAGGGCTAGCAGGTTACAGATGTCCGCGGCCCATTCTATAAGAACGCCCAGGAAAGCCAAAAGGGCCACAGTCGGTAGACATCCTCAGAAAGGGGGTCGCACTCTTGTCCTACGGGTTGCAGTGCAATACCCAGAGGCCAAACACAACGAATCCTGCGCGGAGATCGCTTTCGGCAATAACCCAACTTTCAAGCTGTCGCTTCTTGACTGAGGCACGCGGCGCAGTAGTTGGGCCAGTTGGGTCGATTATCCCCTGTTACAAGGCGTTCGATCAGGGGATTCTGCTGCATTTCAACGAGACAAATCCAGCCTCGGGATAGTAGGGTCCCCGTACTTTGCAGAGTGCGGATGGGATGACATTTGGTTGCAAGAGGTGCGAACCATTGAGATGCGAACACCAGTGCCGCCGGCGCCCATGTGCCCAAAGGACGTGGTGGGATATGAGGTTCGGTCATCTTTGTGTTTCGATCATCTGCTACAATAGCACAGGGCATGCCACTGGGGTTGGGGGGGGGGTTCTCACTAAATCCGCCAGAAAGAGTGGCCTTGGGAAACGGGGTACGCTCCAATGTGTCAAAGGGAGACACGCTGAACAATGACTGCAGTTCATGGCTCAACATATCCAGCAGTTCATAGACGAGTACACAATGTGGAGCTGTGGAGGGTAGTTGAAAAAGAATCGAAGCAAACCATTGTAGAGGCTGTAGGCTTTGGACGCCCCAGAAATCGTTATGACCTTCCTTATCTTGCGTCCCTTGCCTGAAGAAGCAGCTAGCTGGCAGCTATGTTTATTGGCACGTGCCCTTATCATTTTAGTCAGTAAGTTGACTTTGTGCTTTGTGCTATGATCACTTTGACGGCACGGCAAAAGGCTTTTACTCTCAGTCCGGTCCACTCAGGAAGCAAGTGTGCTTTTCTTTTGGGGGGAAGGGGGTGGTCCTCTAATCCAAAAATGTACCAACAAACTTGTGGTAGTGGTGACCCTCAAAGGACACCCAAAATGAGACTCTTGCATTTGTTGTAGGTGTACTTTGACTTTTTGCCCACATGGAGCCTTTTGGTTTGAAGAAGGAAACACCAGGCCCTTGGACTTTGGCGATTTCCTGTGGAACGGGACGGTATGCCTGGACAAACCTGTTTGTGCATTAGGAGACCCGGGTGCAGAGCACATGGCACGTGGTGATTTTGCCAGACAAGGCGCGATGCAGGATCAATCAACACCTGGTTGAGTACTGGGTGCTAAACTGCACATAGTGGTTAAGTCCCCTTTTTGCACTCACAGCAGTAGGGGTGTGTCCCCGTCTATAGAATTTGCGGGCTCCGATCAACGCGGCAGGTTGACGAGTCGGGGGTGAACATAGTTGCTTGTTAGTAGGGGATGCGTGCACGGGCCAACAAGAGATACCAGCAAGATGCCGCTGCTTTAAATCACCTACTCGTTCTTTTGCTTCAGGTGCTCAATAACTGGAGTCAAGCAAGTTCTTATCAGGGCGACTTCCTTTCAAACAAACAAGGGCAAATAGCAACAACCAGCTTAGGCAACTGGAAGATGACAAGCTGTAGAAGCATGTCGAGGTCTCATACCGAACGCCTCATGTGCGCACCCTTGGCCCCAGGTCCCTGCATATTGGGAGGCCCACCTCACTTCCCGAGTTAGACTTCGTTTTGGGAAGACCATTTTGCTTAAGTGTAAGAGATGTGAAAGCTGATATTGGTGGGTTCGCAAGGCTACTTTGGGAAAACCATTTGATGGTAAAAAACAGACAATTTGGACTTTATTGGGCCATCCACTCGCTTGGGTAGGCGGGAATGCACCTTCGCGAGCCGCCACAGGGAAACGTTGGCAGGTTCATATGCGGCGTGTCAAAAACCAACCATTTACAGGATTGCTTCGGGCCTCCAACAGATGGAAGCGGTCCAATACAGTTGTGGCGACCGCACCTACCCCTGGTTTTTGGCTCGAAGCCACATGATGAAAGTTCCTTTCTATAGACAGCATTTTGTGTTGTGTTGTTGCTGTTTGGTGAGTCATTCGCCCGGACAATGAGACTGAGAGATCTCCCACGCTTAAGGTAGGTGGTATCGGACATGAACCAAGTCATTCGTCCCGCGGGGTCGGTCCTCCATTGAAAGGGGTCAAGGATTAAAGGAGGTTTGGCAACTTCAGATCTGTGGAATCGCATTATTTTACCCTAGCACTCTTTCGGCGCTTTTGAAACTTGTGAATATTTTTGAAGGGTACCCTTGCCCTTCGGTTTAGTGTAAAGTGAACCAAAAGGACAACCACCAATCTCTTGCGGGTCGTCCCAACTATAGGTGGACCAGGCCCGTTCCTCTTTGTCGATCCCGTTGTGTGTGTTTTTGGCCCCACAAACCAAAAGGAAAGGTGGAGGTTCAAAAACGGTTTCGGGGTTGGAAAAACTGGGTCCCCCATGCAGCCAGGTACTCCTAGAAAGTGTGACCATGTCACTGGACGTGCCTTGCGGCACCCCGTTAGCAGATGAGAGTGGCACCGTCAAACGGAGGAAACGGATGTTTTTGCGGGAGCTGGGGCCTAGGTCAGCATCACTGGACTTCGAAACCCACCCTGCACTGCTTAAACCAGCCCGTAACCCCCCCTGAACAAGCCGTAAACTAACCTCAGCCAGCCCAAACCAAGCTTAAAGCAAGGCTATGCCCTTTAAACTTGGCTAACTTGAATCCCACCCTTAACCCGTCCTTTGAACCATAGATCATTTCCGAGATCCACTAGCGCATGAGAAGCAAACCCAACCCTAAACCCACCCCCAATCCCAAAAGAACCTCAGACGCCGCTCCGAAACCAGCTGTACACCCCAAGCCGCCTGAACCGAACCGAAACCTAGCCCCATCCCTTTCTAAACTTCAATCCTTTGCTAGTCCACCGGGCAAGGGGGGACGCCGGGGGAGCAGGAAGCAGAAGCTTTTGCGCTTCCCGTGTCAAGCGATGGCAAGCAGGTTGCCGACACGCCTTTCTGTGGGACGCTAGTTGCACAGCGGATGTTTGACTGCGTTGTGCCCAAACTTGGAAAGCCAGAGAGCAGGCCCATGTGCCTGAGGCCAGCAGCCATGTGCGGCGCGCAGTGAAAAGGGCGAGTTCTTTTAAGAAACGTAAGCTTGACATGAAAATGCGGGGAAGCTGACTGTGTTGGGTCCAGATCTTGGTCTAAAGCGCGCCTCCGAAACAAAGAAGTCAGAAACTGTTTCTCCGCGGCGATGCCTAGCTCTTTCTCCCAGCAGCTTCGTGCTTTTCCTGGGTAACATTAAATACGGGTAGCGTGAGCCCCCAGTAGCTTTCTGGAATTTGAACGAAGGCCGAACATTTCCAACAAAAGATTGTGCCATCCTCCTGCAGAGCACCTCCCGGCTTTTCCCAAAAGACAAACGGGTTGACAAACGCCGAATGCCTTCCTGGCAGGCCAATGAGAGAGGGGGCCCACGAGAAATTCGTGCCTGACCCAATTGTTCACTTTATTCTTTGTCGCTTTGGTTTTTTTTGGTATTCCGCTCAAACATAATCCTTGTGGTGTTGGGCCTAGAGGTGACCAACTGAAATTCGTTATTTGTGACCTTGCGTTGCTTGAGTTCCTTTGGCGATTTGTCTCAGATCCCACTTCAAAAAAGCGCGGGAGCTGACCCCAGCCTACTGTAAACCCTGCCTAAACCGTCCGAAGCTTCCTACACGCGCTCATCAATCAGTCACCACCCCCAACGGCTTGAAAGAAACCTTGTCGACCCCGTGCCTGGAAAACACAAACCCCACCCCCGCCCTCCCGTAGCAAGCCCTACGCAAGCCCGAGAAAATATACAAAACCCAACTGCCACCTTGACTCCATGACCAAAACGTCTACCGAGCTCAACAGTTTTAAGCTAAGCCCAAGCCTAGCCCCCTCCCCCTACTACCATTTAACCCGCACCCTCAACCTTTCTGGAGCTACCTTAAACCCACCTTGCACCAACCCTACACACACAGCAAACTCGCCATAAACCCACGAACCCGAAGCCAACCTTGAAGCGTCGGCCTATCCCAGCCATTTGAGAACCCCTCAACAAACCCCTGAACCCACCTTCGCCAACCCTAGCAGCTGCCAAGCGCACCCTACACCCACCTTCAGCATCCTTTCTGCGCCCAAGGCTACCTGAGTTCCACAAGAACCCGCCGTAAATGAGCATTGGCTCCACCCGTCGCTCCCTCCGTTTAGGTGGTCCATTCGTTTCCAGAACAGCTTTCCAATCCAGGCGTTTGCGCCATGGTCTCTATGCATCGAAAGTTTGACCCAGTGCAGCTGTTATCTGGGGTTGTGACCTCTTTGCGCATGTCAACTTGCTACCAAAACTTGACAGATTCTTCATGAGAGGGCCTGGTCTCAATTTGCCAGGCTCCCGCGGCTGCGCTTCGCAGTTGGCCGGGTTTCACGAGGATCTAGGTCGTTTGCTTGTATTTCTGAAGGCGTTTCAACAATCAGCCGAGTGATTTGCTCCTAGGGTGGTTGGCACTTACAGTTTTGTTGACATGTTGTCCCTCTGCACCGATGAGATGATTTGACAGTCGGTGCTGTCAAACCCCCAGCAAATTGCGGGATCGTTGGCGGATGTTGGCGGGTTTGTGTCCCAGTCAGTCCGCCCGCCCTTCAGCAACCAAGGCACGAATTTCAACGTCATCGCCTGCGACACGTTTACCGTCCAAGGTGGCAAACTGAAAATGCTGAGGACCCGCTTGCCACGGTGGATGCACTACATGCATCAAGGGAAGCCTTGCATTTTACCACCATTTACCTTCAGGAAGAACAATCTGCTGGAAGATGGAATGTGTCGCCGATCCTGGGACACAGGCAGTTGTGAAACTTGTTGATCAAACCACTCATGGTTTCCCTCAAACCATGCCCAAAAGGGATAGCAACTCCCAAAACGACCTCGCCAGTAGGTCGCCTTTTGTGCATTTGTTGTTCCCGTCAATTTTCCTTTCAAAACCAGGCCCAGAACGAGCTTTCCGATGTTTGTTCCCAGTTTTAGGTGTGGTTATCTTAAACGAAGTTTCCGTTGTATGGTTGGTTTCCCCGAGGACTCCGAATCCCTACGACCTCCAAACAGGGCCGCTTCCGCCGCTTCCGCCGTCACCCCGTAGGACCTGCGGTGTGGAGTGGCTGCAGTCCACCTGGCTGAAGAGCCGCCCGGAAGTCAGGGCTTCCAGGTCTCCTACTATGGATGGTTGCTCGAAACCATGGCTGAAACCGCTGTTTGTTGGTGCTTTGCAGGGGAATCATCATTCCAGAACTTCTTGGGTGGGGCCGGATTTCGTCCATCCACAGTATGTGACCAGAATGCCACGTTGAAATGGGCATGCTCACCGAATTCAATGTCACTGGGAAAGGGGGCAAAGGGAAACCAATAAGACTACCAATTTGGGTGGGTGTTTGTATTTTGTTTGTTCGCTTAAAGGTCGATTCCTTCGCGAATTGTTTCGATTCCTTATCAAATTGTTGGCCAAGGGGGGTCCTTTTGTATGTTGCGGGTGAATGCTTTGGGGGGCCCAATTTTTGTGCCGAAATTGCTTGTTTTGAGGATACCTTGCCCATGTTGTCCGATTTCCCCGCCAACTGGACACACAGTTGTCTTTGTGGGAAATGGTCATGACTGGCAGCATCTCATCTTGGGTTCGTTCCGTGGACGGGAGGTCATGAGGGTGCGTTTGATTTGGGGGGGGGGGGCTTTTGTTGGGTCGGGCTGGGATTTTCTTAGAGCAGGGTGATTGTAACCAGACTAATCAAAGGACACCAACCCCTTTTCAGATCCCCATGAAAGGGCCCGCACTTGGTTCTTTATCAGCCCAAAAAGTCGCAACCTGACAGTCCCTTCCGTCAATTTGCAGGGACGCTTATCGCGCTTTGGTTAAAGCATGCCAAAGATGGCATTGCCCATCTTAGAGGCTCAATATTCGGAGACACCCATTTGGCAACCTGGACTTTTAAAACACCATTCATTTGTAAGGGATTGTCTTTGGGGAAACCTCTTTTGTGGATTCCTTATCTTAGTTCCAGGAAACCAAGCGCAACCGGGCCACACGGCTGACTGGCAAGCCCAGTCCAGTATCAAGCCAATGTTTTCCTAATTCACGGAGTCGTGTTTTGGGGAAGCGCTTTTGGTTCCCTTTGTTAGTAGGCGCCATCCAACTTGGTCGAGCTGTAGGCATGGTCGAGCAGAATGTGCCGCCGCAGCTCACCGCCGTGGCAGAGCGCATGTCGCAGGTGGTGACCCGCTGGTGGGACAAGGCGCGAGTGAGAAGCTCGCGAGCCGCCGAAGGGGTGGTTGCAAGATTTCTACTGGGTGATTTTCCCAGTCTCTTCACCACTTGTTTCAACCTTTCACCGCTTTTTCAGCCTTGGAATCGACGGATTTTCTGAAGAGAAGGATTCCAAAAAGAGAACGGGCAAGGTACGGTTTGAAGATTCGCGCGAAAACCAGACTCAGGGGGAGCCTAAGCGGTTATACAAGGTTCCAGCTTGCACCAAAGGACGAAGGGCAATTCTCCATGTAGCATGCAAAAGGAACCCATTTGTTAGAACCGATTTAGGGTCACCCAACAGACCCTAGTTTCATGTAAAGGGGTTTAAAGGGGGGTTGGCCGCACCCTTGACAGTGGTGCTTGGAGTTCGCTCCAACACGATGGAAGCTTGCCAATTGTTGGGGTCTCAATGAGTTCCGGTGAGGGGACAGTCCCACCATTTGATTCGGTGCAGCCACTCCCCATGATAATTGGTAAGCGAGTTGCGCTCGCAAGCTTCCACACACCTGCCCCCCCCCCCGGAACGCCTCGCGCACATTAGCCCCACTCCCCCTCCTTTCAAACAGGGTCTCGGCAATTTGATGAATTTTTCAGGGACCCAGAGTCAAGCCCTCTCCTCAACCCCCAGCCCCCCCCCCCCGGGCAGCCGCCCGCCGGCAGGTTGGATCGAAACTGGAGCAGCCCGTGCCCTGAGGGAGGTGTTGCGCCGGCCGCAGCGACGGGATGTGGCCGCAAGTCACAAGACGTTCACGGCCACTCAACGCACCCAACCGGCCACCGGAAGCAACACGCCAGTATAAAGAGCATCAAACAGCACACAATGTTTTGCGCTTGGTGACCCGTTGGGTCGGGGCGATCGATTCTTTTTGGCCGTTGTTGCTGGTTTCACTGGGTTCGACAGCCAGCTGAATTATCAGAGCGCTGGCTTCCGGGCTCGGGACTCGTCCGCAGAACAGCGGTTATCGCACCGGACAAGCGCACAGGGAGAAAACTCTGGAAGCACAAGACGCCGACTGCGAATTTACAAACCTGGCTCATTCATAGGGGGGTTCTCCGCAGGGGAACCCTCTGAACACTCCCCTAGTAATCAACTTTGGTGAATTCACCCTGGGTTTCCATACAGCCCTGCGAGTTTTTGGGAGCCAACAAAAATGGAAGTTATTGGGGGGTGGTAGGAAATTATGACCTTAAAAACGGGGCATCGCCCGCGGAATCCCCGGCAAGTAAGAAGGGTGTCCATTAGCACAACACGTTACGGCTGTTAGCTTTTGCATAGGCCAAATGTGCACGCAATGTGCACATAATGTCATGTGTTGCTTCTTTTGGCAGAATGAGCTTGCCCATGCTGAAGGGTTCTTATTTAGTTGATCATTTATACGGGCACAAATGGACATTGTGGAGAGATGATTCCAGAGCTTATTATTCAAATCAATTTCTTGAGCCCGTTGCGAGGATGGTTGTCATGTATATACTGGACCGCGAGAGGCTGCGCATCATGCTTGTATGAAGCCCTTTTGGAGCGATGTCCAAAGGCGGCCTGTTTCGATGTTTGGTCTACACTGATTTGTTCATGCCCCCAAAGGTGAACCGTGAACCAGGCACCGGGCATGGTGTTCGACTCGCTTGGCTTTAGGTTCCATGCAGGTACACCCCGAGCTGGCCCGTCCCCTCAGGTTCAATTGGCTATGGAGGTTGGAACACAATGAGTGTCTGGTATTTCTCATGTTCGCCGTCTATTTCGAACCCACATAAATACTTCAGCATTAGCCACTTTTCTGTGGTATTCTATGATGCTGCAATGGCTTCCCTTGCGACCGGGCTCTGAAACAATATGGGACAAACCGATAAACCATCAACCCAGTAACCGCTTGGTAACGACTTACATCTTTGCCCTTGGCAAACATGATGGTAGTGGAGCCAAAACAAAAGTTTTGGCGGGGAACTGTTCCAAGCTCCCCAGGAGGCCAGGTTCCAAACATAACTCTCAATCACATGTTCATAGCCATGGGTGGATGCTGCACCGATCGACGTCAGGCATGCCCGGCATGCCCCCCGGCATGCCGCCAGGGATGCCTCCAGGCGAGAGGGTGAGTATGGGAAGGGGTGTCCAAGTGGGATTTGTTGTTCGGACGTCAGTTTCTGGACTTGCAGATTTCAGATTAAGGGAAATGGCCCAATGGCTTTCAGCAGTAAACAGCAAGTTTGGTTTAGGACATGTTTGTTGTTTCTGGTCAAACTCTGCTGTACACTGGTCAATTTTGATATTATTGATTGGGGGCAAGTGGTTGGGACCCTGGATTTACTAGGCCAACCCTGATATCCAGTTGGGAGGAGACTCCAATGCACAAGGCTTTATGATGTCAAAGGGCAAGCACTTCTGCTCTAGAATTGCGATATCACAGATAACCCGGCAGAGGTTCCAATTTGAGAAAGACGCACTGGCCCATATCTGGTGCTTCTAAGGGAACCCCTCGAAGATGGTTGGTAGGCATAGGCACACACACCCGCATGAATGATGTTTTCCCAAGGTCTCCAATAAAACCTGATAGGATTGATCAAACATAGGGATGCATTTTTGGCTGGATCCTTTCTGAACCTAACTGGGAGCGAGAAGGGTGCTGATGTCAATTTAGACCCTTTCTTTCCTCATACGGATAGCAGCCTTCCCCTGCTTCGGATCATTCTTGCGGAATTTTGGCACGGCTCGGAGTTGTCGCCAACAGGTTCTCACCGTTGGAATTCAGGTCTGAGGTCTTTTTGGACGGACATGGACACATGAAATCACCGAGCTTCGGACTGGATTCCGCCAGAAGCTCTTGGGCTCAACCCCAATGCCTGCGGTGGTGCTGTTGAGGCATACGACAGCATGGCTAGCAGAAGACCAGCTTGTTGACCAGCAAACGGCAAACGTATACGTGCACACTCACAGCTACGTTACATGCAGATATGTACACATGGTGAAAATATAGATGCATACATAATCATACATATTATTTTAGTGAGATGTAACGCAATTGTATTTTGATATTTACAGACGGTGATTCTTACAGACACATACATACGTGTATTTTGAAGATGTGTGAGATGCTAAAGGATGACGCCTAATGTAATGATGGGCCCAGATTGAAGCTCCGCCAGCCCTTGCCTGTGCACCTGCATGTCGTCAGCTTCCTCTGATGCCTCTGATGATAGGTTTGCTGGCCATGAGTGGACCAAGAAGTCGCTGGAGCAGAAGGACATCTTGTGGGTGGTCTTAGAAGATGGCAGTCGGGTCCTGGGATTGCGCTGCCGTGGAAAGGAGAAGCTCCAGCCTTGGAGGATGGCGAAGCAAACCTTCTTGTCGCTTTTGGGGCAGAATGCCATGGATGAGGTGGAGACAGACAAAGCTTTGAAGAAACAGTTGCAGGCAGTGCGGGAGAGCTTTGGCAGTGGCTGTTTAAATCCGGTTCGGGTCCGTGGATTGCAGGCTTTTGGCATTGCGAACAACAAGTTGGGCTACGAAAGGGCGGCGTACTTGGCTCTGGCCGTGACGGCCATGCTCGGTGGCTGGCGGGCCAAGGGAAAAGAGTTGCGCAAACTGAAGTCGCAAGTTGAGATGGCCATGCTGGCCAGCATGCCTGTGAGTGCCTCTTCTAGCAAAAGTGAAGTTCCCTTCCATGCCTCGTCGCACATTCAACCAGCAGCACGGCCATCTACGCCAATCCCAGTCAAGGCGATGCCGCCCATTGCAGCGGCATTGGCTTCAGCATCTTCAAAAGCTCCGCCCATGGCTCCGCCTAATGGGACGGCAACTGCCAAAGTCAAAATTGAAACCAAAGAGGAAATCAAAGACGAGCTGGAGGTGAAGATCGAGCCCATCGATTCTTCTGAGGACGAGTCCGGGGGTGAAGACCAGCAGTTGGAAGCCACAGGTCCGGCACCGAGATGGCCAGAGATGCTACGGCTTGCGCAGCAGAATCGGGACTGGGACCCGGCCAGCCCAAAGTTTGATGAGAGCACGTGGGGCGGCTACATCCAGAAGATTGATTGTGAACAGCTTCGCTGGACCCATGCCACCATTGCAAACACCTTCAGAAATGGAAAGCACAAAGGACAGCCAGTGGAGACTTTGACGAACCAGCTGCTGAGCGGCGAGAGTGCTGCGGAGGACCTGCCAGCTCTTGTGGGTGTGCAGGATCAGCAGGGACAGGTGTGGGTCGTGAGTGGGAATCGTCGATTGTTTGCATTGCGAGCTTTTGCCGACCGACTTCGGCAGGAGCAAAGGAATTACGGTGTGGAGGTCAAGGTTGTGCTGGTGAGCCTTGCTGACATGGCTGTGTTCCCGCAGAGCCTCTTCGCTCGCTGTATCGAGGCTTTCAGCGGCACTGGTTAGCGCCCAAGCCTCAGAGCTGCGCCGCAGGCGCCGCAGCCGGCGAACCAACCTGGCTTGGGGATAAAAGCTTCAGCGCCGCCACCTTCTTGCGGGAGAATTTCAATGTTCTGGGCGTCAAGGGGCCTTCAGGGCCTTTGGGTGGACCACAGAGGCGTGAGTTACATGGTCACGGAGGACCATCGCACCAGCAACTGTTTGGAAGTGGTCCGCAACAACAATGGTGAGCTCCGGAACTACAGGGTGCAGTGGGATGGCCAAACTTTTACATGGCCTTCACGCAACGCAAAGTTCTTGGCAGTTGTTGTCAACAACGACACCATTAATTGGCTGCGTGACCACACTGGACAGATCTGTTTCACTTGGTACCGAACCATACAGCCATGAAAATGATATGAGGTGCGGCTGCAGCCGCAACTTTGGCACGTTGGGCCGGCCATTTCCACGCTGACCAGGCAAAGAGTAGTTGCGTGTTGTTCGCGCGCTTCATTGACAGTAACAAATACGCAGAATCTTGGCGATTGCGCCCTACATGTTTCCTTGATTAGACGCCTGGCAGAAGCAGTTGATGCTTTTTGCGCATTTCTTCGACGGTTATACTTTCGGGGGCACGGCTAAGTGTTTTGACATTCGCTGCATGTTGATGTTACTTCTTTCTGCGGTTTCACAAGGCTGCCCAAGAACATGGTTGCCCAACAAGTGCGATGATGGGTTAACATTGCACGAACGATGGGAGAGTGTCGTTCTTTTTGCTTTGCTGGCAACACCCCGGCCTGCGTGCCACTCAGCTGACCCATGCCCCCCCCCCCACCCACTGTTTAACATAAGTCTTTGTGGGAACGCCAACATGTCAGATCGACCAGGAGGTTCGATGGAATTGACAGCGGTGTTTTCTTTATTTGGCGGTTCATCATCGCGCGGGGCTCGACACCTGCGAAATCCGTTCGTGCAGGCATGGGTCGCGGCATGCCCGGCATGGGCCGCTGAGGCCGCCTTTAATCTGGCACGCGCTTGCTGCTCTAGGTGGGGTTTGTGGAATTATGGGGTGTGATTTTATTGGACAACCAGTTAATGGGTCACATTGCGCGTTTCACTCTGGACCCACTGAGAGAAGCTATGTTGCAGCTTGGATCACGTTTGGCGCCAGCTCCAAGCAAAAGCAAAGACCAGATCTCAGGACCCGCCTTCCAGCCATGAGGGTCCTAACCCAACAGCCGGAGCCCAGCCGACGTCTGGCGAATGCCAGAAACCGGCCCAAACATGAGCCGCGAGCGAGGCGACCCGCGCGCCGCCCCATGCTTGCGCGTGGGCCCGCGCTCGCGTGGGGCGGTGTAGTTATCAGCGATCGCGCGCAGATCGAACATGGGAAGCCAGAAAGAGCTGCTGGCGCCGCGTCGTTGCGCGCGTACTGCAAGTGCAAACATGTTGGAAACGGCTTGGATTTTTGGCAGCTGGCATTGTCAAGCGGCGGGGTTGCCAGTGTACCATTGATCAACAAGCTGTCAATTTATTGCAGTGGATTTGATTTTTCTATAAGACCAAGGACCGATGCCTTTTCAGTTAACCATTTCTGGGACGCCAGGGTCTGGAACCATTTACTTTGGCAGCCATGTTCGGTAAACAAGCCCTGTACAAGAGGGCAATTATATGCTGTCCGTAGTTCCCTCATCCATGGTGAATCCAGAAATTGTCTTGGAGCCTCCCCACGTGTCCTTGATGCGCAAGGACATAGCACTTCCCAACGAACACTTGAAGAGGTTCAAAGAAAGGGCCCTGGAACCCTTGAAACTTTCTCAGGGGCGTTGGTTTTCCTTGAAACGTAATCCAAACAAGGGCCCAACCAATTCTGGTACACTCAACACACAGGGCGGGCAACATCTGAAGCAGTCAGTTGCCCTGGTCCTGTTGCAAATGGGCGTCTGAATAGGGATGCTTGCACCATGGTTTTTACTGGCTTTGGAAAATCGGGTAGGTGCCCACTTTCTTCCCCAAGGCGATCAACCCCTCGAGTGAGCTTAGCCACGAGGATGGTTGGTATCACGCAGAGGGTTAACTTGCCACGGCCATGCTGCAACATGTTGAGAGCAAACAGGCCCTGCCATCAGCCCTTCAAGTCTTCGTCGGCCTAGGTCGTGTTGAACCGGAAATCAAACCAGGTGCCTAGGTGTATGTGTACGTGGGGATATCTCGACATGGTGATCACCATGTTAAGGCGTCATACACGATGCATTCTCCAGTTTTGGTATGAGGGGGAGAGGGCAATTGGACATGACCAACAAGCCATCACGTTGCCTCAAAATTTGACAGTCCTGAAAGCGGCAGTTTCCTTTTAGTTTCACTTTATAAAGCCTCTAAAAAACGCGTGCCAAAAGGAAACAAGAGACATCCTTCAATGGAACCCCACAAGAACGCCCTAAAAAGCTCCCCAAAAGATCCAAAAAGGACACGGAAGCCAACTCCAAAAGACCCCCCCACATGGTGTTTGAATTCGAGCATCCATGCAATTCCTGGCCGCTTCCTGTAAATTCATCAGGCTGGCTGTTTGACCCCCAGCCTCTCAAGGGCTGGTTCTCAGTAGGGGATCGTTGCCGGGGTTTGGGAAACCTCGGGATCTAGAAAAACTATCAGGGATGGTTCATAGAAGGCATTCCTTTATTCTCCATGGTTTGTCTTTGGTGTGACCTTAGCCCCTACCTTTCGCAAACACATGAAACCTATAAAAGGTTAGACCTCTTGCTCGCGGGGGAAGCGCAACCCAGTCCCTACTGAGCAACTGTCTTCTCCGGCTGAGGCCCCGCTCATCGGCGTGACTTCCGGCGCTTTGCCCTCGGGCGGCCTCGTGAACGTGCAGGAACGCGCGGGGCATTTGAGCCATTCGAACTCGGCTTTAGGGGGTACCCGTTTTGGGGATTACTAAGAACCAACGCTTGAACAACTTTGGGGGAATACCTCATGATGAAAGTGCCCTTCTATTTTAAGGGATTCATTATCTTTTGCGTTTGATCCTACCCCTTTATTGCTGATAGCAATTAGTGGATACCGTGGCTCATCAGAACTTGGCTCCAGGGAAATGATGCTACAGTTCTGCAAGATGTTTGGGTCCCTTCGCTGGTTTGTTCAAAGGCAATCCACAAATCCTTCCCTTGGGTTACGAAAGTGGTTGTCTAAGAGAGATCATGGATTAGGATTGGCAATCCTTCTGCCCCGTGTTTTGCCCCCCAGCCTGTTAAACCACAAGATGAACTGGAGGTCAAAAAAGGTTTGGGGTTTAACATGGGTCCAGCCATCGGTCCTTTCTTGTTTTGTGTGCCCTTCGAAATGGGGTGCACGCCAAGATCAGGCTGAGGGTTCACACCAAAGCCTGCCAGGGCAGCTTGGCCCTTCACTCAGGGTATCGAACTCAGCGGTCTTACAAACTAGTAAGCCCTCCGAAGCCACCTTGCACAAGCGAGAATTGTGATAGATCATCCAGTCTAGCTGTACCTTCCCCATTTGGGAACAGAACAGAGCGGTGAGTAGAATGATTTGGGACCCGAGTCAGTTGTTCAAATCTCGGGGATCTAAACCGCTTTAAGTAGCCCAGCTGAGCAAAGTGTTGGCTTTGAGACATAGCGATGAAGCATCACGCGGGAAAAAAAAACGCAGGTGCCTGTTTTTGCTGCGTGTGAGGAGCCAGCATGTTGACAGGTTTTCTGTCAAGCGAGGCCCAGAAAGCCAAACTTGAGTTTGACTCAGCCATGCGCTTTTACTGTTCCTGCACATTTGCTTCAGTGCCAGACAAGCGAACCATTAACCTGAGCCACTGCCTCGGAGTCATCTTGGCATGCTTTGCATCAAATACTGTCTTGGTCAAACACGACACCCCGGTACGAGCATGAGTATACGTACACAAACATTCAGGTAGCTAGCTTGTTCGAAGCCTAATCCCCACTGATTAGCGCATTACGGATTGAGGCTTACGGATTAGATTATGCGGCTGGCGGATGGCCGATTATGGGTTGCACGGGTGTTCCATGCTCCAACGTACGGTTTTGACTCAAAGTTTGAAGCGCAAACTACGGATCAAGAAGATTACCAACCAATAGAAGCTTAAGCGGATTCTGGATTGCGATTAGGCCCCCCGGACTTCGATCAGGCTAGGGTAACCCCTATTTGGTGATTTGGATTGGTGGTTTGGAGTTTGAAGCCCCTGGTTCTTGTAGATGGGAAATGGGAAACCACAACAAGCTGACCATATGAGTATCTGACAAAACTGTGAGCGATTAGTTTCGGTAATATTTGCGGTGCCTTGGGATAGCAGAGTCTGCAACATCTGCAAAACCGAGAGGACCACCCAAAACCGAGACCCCCTTATTTTACCCTCAAAACACTGACCACCGATAAGGGACTACTCAACTTCCTCATGGCATTGAGTTTAGTGAAGGATTTTGGATCCCCCAAATGAGCAATTTGCAGAGGTGTTTGTTTTGGCAGGGTTCCTCCAGAGTTTGTTTGGCATGTTCTGCTCTCTGTACCTGTGGAAATCCGTTTGTGAGAGTCCTAACAATTGGTGCAATCCACAGTGTTGGGACAGTCAAACTGTTGTCAACATAGTATGTCATGTCCCTTGTTTGAGCTTATTGGCCGCGAAATTGATTCATCAAAGGATGATTATATGCTTACGTGTATGAACCATGCTGGACCGACCTTGGGGCGCATTGTCCCGCAGTCATCTATAGTTAGCTGGCAAATTGACTCATGAACTAAGGGGTTCATACCAGGGACCAGGGTTCACACACGTTGCATGTTCAACAGACCGCTTAACTAGGGATTCGGCAGGCATGATTGTGGCTTCTCCAGGAATTTCGACAAGCCATGATGATGCCATGTACATGGCCCGCATCTTGGTAGTTTGCCCCTGGACCGTATGGGGCCTTGCATTCCACTTCGATGTGCCAGGCTTTGTCAGATGGGCTCGAGGCGGGTGACGATGTCTTCCTCCGTGCCCATTTCAGACATTCGGAAACGCGAGGGTCCAGCTGTACTTGACACTCCCTTCTGTTGGAAGGTATTGGGTTACCTTATACAGGCCACACCTGACTTAAAGCGTCCAAAGCAGTTTTCTTTGGGCCATATCCAAGAGTCCTCTTTTTTTCCTCTTTTTTTTTGGGGGGGGGGAGAGTTTGGGCCTTTGAACCACTCACTGACTGCAACTGCTGAAGAGGCAGCCAATGTTTCTCCCCTGGGCTGCGCTTTGTTGGCAACTGTATTTGTGAGCTTCCTCTTGGTAGAGTGAGACTTGCTAGGTGCCAGTGTTATTGTAAGCTTGGTGATATTTCTGCAGGGACGGCTTCTTGTAGTCGAAGGGGCAAATGTGTGTGTGTGTGTCTCAAAATGGGGGACCAGCTCAAAATGGTTGCTTAACCCCCTGGTATCTTCTAGAAACACCACCAAACAAAAGTGGGGAGTGGGAAAGTCATGACAATTGTGACATATGGTGTTATGGTGGTCCAAATATTGGGGACCACTTTACGCATTGTCTTGGAATTGAATTTGCAAGCAACCCATTTTTTGAACCTCCCCGGTTTCAGGAAGCCCCCATATGCAGCCATGGTCAAAAGACTTGTGCACCCAAGCCCCCCTTTTGGAGGCTTCTCACCGACCAACCTTCGAAGGGCAGAGCAAACCCGCGCTCGCAGACCGCCAGGCGCGCATTGAATTTGGGGAGGTCGCCTTGCGGGGCGCTGCCCCAAGCTTTCAGCGGGCGGCCTGTTTTTGTTGCTCCAAGTGATCGAGCCCTAGTCCGATGAACCAATGAATTATATTTACAAGCAATGGTCCCTCTTTTCTTGCACAACTTATAACACCCGGGTGAAATGAGCTCACTCAAAAGGTCCTTCACCAGGCTGTCTCATGATTCATGTTCGGAAACTATAGTGCAGATACACATGGTTTTGTTGGCTCACTGACACACACATGTTATTGCACTGTTCAATTGTCCAATGGTTTTCTGTGAACCCCCCTTCGAGTGAAGAATCAGTCAGTGGACCCGTAAAACTGGGGGCGGGGGGTTCTTGTTGGTTCCCCGCTTAGTCGCCATCCAAATGGAATTTGCCATTTTTTGAAACGGGAATTTCGCTCACGTCAATTCCATCCATCGGGATCGGATTGTTTGTAATGTGCCCCCTTTTAGGGGTGGGTTTAAACGAATACCAAAGCGACACCGTTTTTTTGGTTTGGGTTCTCTGTAAGACAAACCCCTCTTAAGCAACTGGAGGTAGGTTGTCCTCCCTGTGAGTTGGAGATGGTCGGCGCCTGGTTGGCCATGCCCGACTCCCTTGAGCCACAATCAAACCGATTTCCGAAAGCGAAGGTCCCAACCCAAAGTAGGGGCAGATATCCGCCCGTTTGTTTGTTTTCCATAGACTTGGGGTAGACCACGTTAGCGGTTTGATTGCGAGTGTCTGAGCTTTGAAACCAGATAAATCGCCAGGCTCCAGGCCCTGAACCTCACGATGCGTCCATTTTAAACCTTTGCAAAGTATGTGACTGGAGGGGTTGGCGGCGTCAGCCATGACGAAGGTTTCTTTCATAGGGATCTCTTATTTTTGTTTGGTGAGTTATAGTCTAAGCTATAGTGAGTTGCTCAGATTCATACTTACTGTTCTTCCCAACAGCTGAAAGCTTTGAAGTCTTTGCCGAGATTCTGCGGCTTGGTGCGGGCGGGCTAGGGCTCTGGAAGGGTTCTGGGGGAGGGAGATCGCTAGGCTCATTCCCAAAGCCCGTTGCCTGGAGCCAGTCTTCGGATCCGACGGCTGGCTCGAGCGAGCGGCCACATGCCGCGGGCGACTCGCTCGCGCGCGATTCGCACGCACGTGAGTCGTGATGGCGGAGCCTTCGCCCAAGCGGAGGAGGCTACGGAAGGCCCCCGAGGCCCGGGATGAGGTTTCCGCTTTCGGACGCGAAGTGAGGGGTCCTGAGGGGTCCTCTATTTGCTCACTCTTGCTTATTTGCTGAAGCGCCTTAAGCAAATGGGAGGTTGTGAGGGATGCTGGGAGGCAATTAACAGATTCTGCCCAGAAATGCAGGCTGCATGAACGTCCGCTGTGGAATGGTTCGCCAATGTGAGAGTGGAAAATCAGATTGGCCAACCATGAGCGGTCCTGTCCGGAAAGGCCGCTCATCACGTTTGCGAGTCGGTTTGCGGCCTGCGGTCTCTGAGGGAGATAACGAGCTCTGAGTTCCCTGGTTTGTTGGCTCACCAACCGGAAGTCCCAGGACCTGTAAGCATTTTGGCCTTTGGTTCAAGCTTGAAACGTTGTTTGAAGAAATGCGGTTGCCACACGAACCAGCACCAGGTTAAACCTCTCGCAATGGGTAAATCCAGAGATTGGTTAAAGGGATCGAAAGGCATGCCTTTGCCGAGCCCTGGACAAGCATGAGTTACGATGGCATTGTTCTAGCTGTGCTTCCCTCGTCATGTTCAGGGCATTTTCTTCCCAGGAAATGGACCAAACACCGAGGGATACGCAGGGATTTTGGAGGCTTCGCAAAAGAACAACTGTATGTTCCTATTCAACCATACTCAACCATACTAGGTTTATTATTCCAACAGGGTGTTCTTATGAACACAACATCAACTATTCAAAGGAATTTTGGGGCAAACGGGATGAACCTTCAGAAGAGTGACCAAGCCAAAGGTGGTGCTCTTTGCCCAACCACTTTCCCGTCGAATGATAGGCTGTTCAAATATCCCTTCCAAAAAAATACTATGTGGGTATGGGTCAAAATTAAACCACCAGTGGACCGCAGGTTTTGTTCCATAGTTCCACTTACCAGGGTTCCATTTGGGGGTACCTATTTTTGACCCACAGCCATATGACCCTTTATTCCCGGCTTGCTTAACGCATCACCCAAAACGGTCTCCAACCAGAATCCACGCACACTTGGAAGCAAATGTCACTTACTGTTCTGTTTTGTGGTTTCATGCACCATGTGACTTTTGCTAGTATTAGTCCTCTGATTTTTGTCCCGTGGCACCTTTTCGCTTTAGAGACTCAATGTTCCTCTATCGTCTCTAAATAGGGGAGCCTCCAAAAAGCACGGTTGCTTGTTCATTCTCCATTGAGCAAAGAGTCGCACCCTAGTTACCAGCCCAAAGGGCCGCAAGTCCTGCTGCTTCCGAGTGGACCATCTTGATTTGGCAGCCTCATGCAGGGGGCTTTCCCAGTCTCATTTGCTCAGACCTCATGCAGGGAGCCCACCAGTAAGTCGATGCAAGTTGTAAACTGTGACGAGACAAATCCAGGAACCCCTCTTGTGGGGGGTGTTTCACCGGAAAGCATCATTTTGGGGGGTCCAACTCCTATTTTAGCCCGGATCACCGATTAGCCAATTCGAAGGCCTCTCCAGAGAAGGAATACGAGGATGCAGAACACCCGGAGGCCGGGTTTTGCGCACAAGCGTTGGGTACACTCACTTAATGGAGGTTATACAGTTGTGGTTATACTCGCCAAAATCCAGCGGCACTGGGCACAATCCATATTGATTGTGGCTCACATGGATTTGAGTTCCCTTTGAAGGGAATGGCGTGTCCTACAGGTCGTGGTTGCAAAATAGACCCAATGTGTCCGCATACCCGGCTTTCGGGCAGAAGGAACACGTTAGTGGAAGATCGTGTTGGAGTTGGAGTGATACCTAAGAGTGCCGCTTTGAAAGTTAACGTAGTCAAGGAAATGAGAATGTTCTCAAAACTCATGCGGGGTGGCCTCAGCCAGCCTTTCTATGTGCATGGTATCTTCTCTGGCAGGGGGGGTTTGAGCAAGTCATCCACAGTCAAAACCAGGGCAAGTGAAGGTCATACCGGACAGTCATGAATAGATGCAGATATCCGCCCTTTTGACTGTTTGCATAGGTTTTTGAATGAAAACTGCAACTACTTTACCGGGTATTCATGGTGACTCCAGTGATCCATTGGATGGCCACTTGCCAGGCTGACGCTTCACCGGCCGCGCTCGCGGAGAGAGCGGAGCCTGCGGAGCCCGCGGAGCCCGCGGAGCCCGCTGAGCCCGCCGAGCCGGCTGCGGCGCCATCATCCCCGGCCTCCGAGGCGCCGGGGGACGGTAGTTTGGCCAAGGTTCTTTGGCTTGGCCCATGAGTCAGATGGATAGATGCTGCCTTTTGTTTGAGCGTGTTTGTTTGCGGCTTGCCCAGTGAGCGCACACTTTGCGGGGTCACCAAAGCAGAACCAAAGAACAAATGGAAACCAAAGAGCAAGTCCAATCCAAAGGAACACCAAGCATCACCAAAGAACAACCATTTCTGTCCTTTTGGACTCGGTAGCGATTGGTTTTGCTTCAAAGCTCATGGCGCTCTTGAAACCCACAGCCAGCCACGCACAGGACAGCTCCAGCGACTCGGAGAGCGACACCTCCAGCAGTTCCTCGGAGTCGGAGTCGGAGTCCTCATCGGAGGAGGAGATGGAAGACACCGACGCCAGGGCAGCAATTGGGGTCTCTCAGAGGATCAATGGCTCATTTTTTGGTACGTTGGCCCCTAAACACTCAAATAGGTTGCGCTTGGATCCTCAGGGCCCATTTGAGCTGTTAGGAAACTGTCCTGTGCGATCCTGCAACGATCCTGAAACACACACCCAATCAATCCGCTAGGTTGTCGGGCAATCCCCGATCAGTTTCTGGGGAAATTGCCGGGTATCAAATGCGCAGGATATTTCACCACACACTTTGCCCTCCCAAAACTGCTACCCGGGCATTCGTGCCTGCGCTTTTCCCCGATGAATTCGATGCGTGCTTTCCAGCCGTGTAAGATGGTCATGACCAGTAAGAAGTGTTCTGTACTGTAGCAGCTCCTCAGAGCCTCGAGCAAACGCAAGGGTACGAAAGGCTCCACTGATCCCTTCTCCAAGTACCGTTTTTCGTTTGGCGTCCTAACTCCCTCGCTAAATGGAGGTTACACCTGGACAGCCCGGTTTTCCACATCAAGTGCGTGGGGAGCTCTCCCCCCACTTGGCGCGGTCCGCAGCTGAGGGCCTGGCGGAAGATGAGGAGCCCGAGAAGGAGGACCCTACGGAGAAGAAGCAGCGGTGCCCGGACTCAACTCGGAGGGCTTCAGCCTTTTTGGTCGTGGATCTTCCCAGAAAGGGGTCCCTTAAAGGAAGCCAGCAGCGTTCATGTTGGCAAGCCATGTGCCATTTCTGGATGGTGGGAGACAAGAGGAAATCAACCATTTGGAGGAGTTGATGCCCCAACTTTGAGAAACACACCGATGGCACAATTCCACATTTTGGTTTAGTCATCCCCCCGGTGCTCACAGAAAAGGTAAGTTCATCTACTTTTCGGGTGTACCCATTTAGCCCTCGGTTTGGCTGATTTTTCCTTTAAGTCTGGCCAAGGCACCTGGACACCATCCGCACGGCGCAGCTCAAGCGGGGTCGTCGGGTCTTCGTCGGTGTGTTCGTCGGGGCTTCGCGGGGGGTGTTGCGACTGGATGCAACGTGGCAAAGCCCGCTTCAAACCATTAATGTTTCAATCCCACTTGTTGAAGCAATAAACTCTTCACTCAAAGTAGCTCTTACTATTGATGCGGTTGTTCCTTTGAGAGCCTCAGGACTGTGTCTTAAAACTTGGGGTCCTGTAGCATCTGAAAAGGGAACCGGCCTGACGATTATGAACGCCTTGTTTCAAAAGACGGGCTTGTCTGAAAATGGGTCACCGAAAAAAACGACATTTGTTCTCTCTGGCCTCCCGAATATCCAATCCAACCAACATTTTCAAAAATACAGCCCCCCCCCAATAGGGCCCTGTTCACAAAGGAGCATCTGCAACTTCTGGGCTTCTTCTCAAGGTTTTGGGGTAGGATTATGATGCTCGTGCATTATTCTTAGGTTACCACTTTAGGTTGCTTGGTCTTTGGGTGCCCCCGTTGACTCCGGTCTTCTCGCCGCAGCTTCGCAGGCGAGAAGACCTCATGGCGCTTTTGCAGGACGTGCCGCCGGAGGAGCAGGATGGATACATCCGGAACGCCTTCGTGCTGGTCAAGGCTCAGGGGATGGGAGGGAATGGCCACTTGTGGGTTGAGGAAATCGTTTGTCAAGGCTTGACCGCGAGCGGGGAAGAGGGATTTCCCAGTCCCGTTTTCGTGGCAAAGCAAACAACTTCCAGGAAAGCATATCCTCGTGGATGTCTTTTCAAGGGAGTCGCAATTCCGTTGTCCATGTTCTGTGAAACATTATCATCCACTGTCTAAGAAAAGCAGTCCAGGAACCTGTCCTGGACATTAGCCAGATCCCCTGCGTGGTCTAAAGCCCACGAGAAGGACATGGTCCTTGCTTTTTGAGGAACAACATCCCCCGGAAAAGTCATCTGCAGATTTCGCCAACTCGGTGTCCGTAGAAACGCACCGCCGCAGATTTCGGAGACGGTGGAGGCATTGGCAGAGGTGGTGGGGGCCGAGCCGTCGGCGCCCTATGAGTGCGTTCACCCCGGCTTCCCCAAGGAGGCGCTTTGGGTGGGCGGGTGGAGGGGCAGGTTTGGGGAGTGGAGTGGGAGGGCGGTGGTTCGGGAGACTGGAGTTTGTCCCCGCTTCTTTGTTGAAATTTTGCGGGATGTTGGGGGTGGGGCCAGGATGTGAGGAGGTGGGTGGGGTGAGGGTTGGTATTGTCAAACCAGTGGGCCAGTGGGTGTTGGAACAAGGGACACCACCCACATTTGGACTCCAGCAGGAGCTCATTCAAGATTCCTGCTTGAGAAGGCTATATAAGAGTGAGGGCATATCCTGGGCTGCTGGGCGCGCATGGCTGTGCGGCCATGATCCTTCTTGAGCATGTTGTTGGCAAGCGAGTAAAGGAAGCTGCAATCACTACTCCCTCGAACAAGGCCATCCGAAACCAAATTTGTCCGACATTTGTCCAGCAAATCCTTCTCAACACGAACGGGCTTGTGCCCATCATTTGAACCCACCCTTGCCGTTGGACGCCTCCCTTTGGTTGAGCCCATCAGCCATGTTTGGTCCGTAGTTTGTGGGATGGGTTTCTCGGCCGACATTCTTTTCTAAAAACCCTCCAAGACCTTTTGAGCAGATGTTGACCATCCCATGATTCTTTCTTTCTCTGGAACTTGGATGGAACAGGGTTGGAGCTGTCTTGGAGCAGCAGATTTCTCGGGAGAGACCAAGAATCCGCTCTATCAAGCTTCGAAGAACCTTTCCTGGGGAGCTAGGGAGCCGTTGGTTTCCTCCTAACTACCCCTGCAAGGGGGTAGGTGACCACTGCATTTCAGCTTAGCTCCCCAGACCTCCTGTGACCTATCTGAAAAACAGGATGCCATGTTTTGCACGTTTTCCCACGGCCGCCGGAGGCCTAGGATCCCTGTTGAAGTTGCTCAACTACCCTCCCACCAACATGGAACCTGACAGGGGATCGCGTACAAACGAGAATTGTTTAACATGGAGCCTGGCAGGTTCCATGTTAGTAGGGCAAAAGGTCCACAAGGCGCGGACCAGATTCAAGCGTTGCTTCAGGTGAAGCGCCTCACCCAGCAGCTACGAGTCAAGCGAGGCCGGGGAGGTGTCATGTGCTCCTGGAGTTGGCACATGTTGGCACCCTTTCAAGGGAGACCATGGTTTTCGAAGCTGAGTTTTATAGCCGCTTTCTGTGAAGCAACAAAGTAGTCATACAAATAGAAATGTCACTTCTGAGATACCACAGGGCTATTTCGCACGGAGACACCGAAAAGAAGCCACACATTTTGTGGGTTGCCGTATTTTTTGAGACGAACTGCCCTTCAGCCCATTTGTAGAGCTCCCGGTGTCGTTTGCCTTGAAACTGCCACCAAAGGGGTGTCTTTGAGACTGGGTAACAAAATGGGTCTGTTGACTAGGCAGAGTGACATTTTTGCGATACTCGTGATGTATGCGTGTTCTTCATTTCTGAGTGACCCCGGACGGGATTAGACAGCCTTAAACGGATCCTACGGCATCAAACCATCAAGGCCGCCCTCAAAACTGAGCGCATGTCCGCCGTGGGCAAGTAATGTCGACTCTGAGTCAACCTGGTGGATTCATAGGGGGTGTTTCCCCGAATAATGACTTGTCCCCACTCAAAAATGGGACACGCCCGCACGAAAGTCAAGCAGGGGTTGATTAATCAACTGGGTTCCCATTGGCATTGGCAGAACCCAAAGGTGTGCACTTTTTATTTCCTTCTCACCAAGGGACCTCAGTGAATGCCCGGTGCTTCGTGCCGACAATCCACCCAGAGAAATGAAACTAGAGCCTTTTCAAGGGCATGGCTGGCATGACCCTGTTTGTTGGGTTTCTTGCACTTCTTGCCGGCTCCATGTCATTTGGAAGCCCAAACAAGTTGAACACTCTTCTACATGGCTTTGTCAAGACAACCAAGAAGAGCTACCTTCCCAAGTCTCTCACTCTTCGCGAGGACCATTTGTGTGATAAGCAAGCAGTTCAGACTCTTTTGGCCAATTCATTCAGGAAGTGAGTGAGCAAGACTAGACAACATTCGGGGCTGAGGTGCCAACATTGGGTGTGAGCATACACCTTTCTTGTGATATAGGCTTGCCTTTGTTCGCTTTGAAGTAGGGCGTTCTTTTGTGCAGCGACCTTGAAGCCTGGAAAAGGTGCAAGCAAGACCATGAGACCGAGCTCGTTCGCCTGGAGTGAGTTAATGTGCATGGTGCATTGTGCTGGTACCGGCTTGCTCCGGCTACGACTCCAACCAGACGGGGGCATGTTTGAAAGGAGGCTCGAATGAAATCACCCACGTGCAGGCGGCCTTGAAGGCGGCCGTTTTGTGTTGACACCTGCCTTAGCATGTTCTCAAAGTGCTTTTCTTTCCCAAATGATGTCAAGGGGAACGCTGATGGACATGAGTTGTTCTCTGTGACAAATGAGCCTGGGAGTTTTCGACTTGGTTCTCGAAGGAAACAGCGACGAACTGGTATTTTGTCAGGGGCAGGTAGTCCCTTGCGCAAGTCCTTGGACTCAGAGCACAAGACTGTTCTCCAGGCAGGTTTAGCTGGTGAACACCCCAAAACAGCTTTAAGGGGGGTCGTTTTGGTGTCCCTCTCCCTCTCAAAAAATAGCAGCAACAATTGGCTACCAGTTCAAGCAGAGACACAGCCAATATTTTGTGTTAGGGTATATTAAATAAATTTATGAGCTGAACATGGGAAAGCTGTTGAAGAGGTAAGGTGACATTCCTAGTTAGTTGCGACGGTAGGTGCTCCACAGGGTCCAATTAGAAGATGCCATCCAAGCAAGTGTTTTTTTTTGTTTATGATGCATCCTGAACCTATCCACGACTATGTGTGTGTGTGTGCGCGTGATGCTTTGAGGGTACCCTTGTTGGCGGTGGCTTCTGGTAAGCCACTACATCTTGGGCCCCTCTATTTTGACACATACCCAGATGGCACAACCTAGCATTTTGGTTGCCAACAGGGAATTGTGCCATCAAGATCTATATGGCCATGGGTCAAAATCGCGTACCCCCAGTGAACATCCCAATCCCCCCTAAAATAGTTTCTAAAATGGGTGGTGCACCTACCCCAAAATGGTACCATTGGTTTTGATCCACTGCCGTATTTTGATGATGTACTTCTCTTCTGGGCGTGCCATAGCGCAGGCACCTCAGAGAAGCTGATCAAGGTGTGCGCCATCAGCAACAAGACGATTGAGGCGAGCGGGTGGAGCTGACATCGGGTCGTGCCGGTTTGTTCGGCCCTAGGAGGCTCTTAGGAAGTACTGTAGTTGGGTGCTAAACAAAAAACAAGTGTTTTAAGTTGTCCAAAAAGGAAGCCACGAGGGGATGCGTAGTTTGGTTGTGTGTGGTTGTTTGTTTCAGACCTAGTGAAAAGCCGTCAAAGGGGATGGGGTGTTCTTTCTCAACGATCCTGTATCCCTTCGGATACATGAAATCATGTTGGGGAATCATCAATGTACCCAGTTGGTGATTCCATTTGGTTGCAAGAGGAGTGACAAATACGAATTTACCCAGCAACCCACAAGGGTGCGGTGATAGTTGTCCGTCAAGTGGGTTGCGCTCTGAAAAAGGGAGTGCCAGTTGCTGTGATATTGAGGATACCTTTCACAGACTCAATTTTGAGCAGATCAATTTTGCCGTTCAGCTCTTTGCGGTGGCAATTTAAGCGCTGGCACTGGTTGTGGTTTTAGGGTGATCTTCTGTTACTGTGATAACGCAGTCATGCGGATGGCCCATTTTGGTATCACAGTGTTGACAAGGGCACCAGAGGGAACCTCAGATCCATTTGCTGATGAAACTCCATTTTCGTGGCACATTTGCATCGTTTACGGCTGACCTTTGCCTTGATGTGCTTTTCGGTTTTTGAACCACGGCCATGGTGCGACAAAGGGACAATACCCTAACTAAACGGCATGCGGGTTGTCAAAAGCAAGGACACCTTTTGGTATTCCCTTAACAATCAGGCGGCACAAGGCGGCACCAGCCACATATTGGATGAACATAATCCACCAGTTGGGATGGATCATGCCCTATGGATACTGGCCTTTTGCAAGCACAGCACTTTTGACCACCCAACCCCTCGGTGGGATCAATGAGTCCCTGGCCTGTTGCGCTAGGACTCGCAGCTAGAGCAATGGTCTCTGGTGATCAACCGCCGCAATCCCAGATCGAGAGCGGTGCAGGTTACGGGCAAATCTATACGCAGCCCTTCCCGAAAACGCAAGGAAATTCTCAAATCCGAAAGGAATAAACCCTCCCATCCACCAACATGGAACCTGACAGCGAGGTCCTGAAGGACCAGTTTCCTCTAAGAGGGAGCCTTTGGCAAGTTCCATGTGAGCGGACAAGGGCAAGGGCCTCAAAAATGTTTAGTGAGTCATATTCATTTGAGAATCACGTGCAAACATGTTGCTTTGATATGAAAAGCGCAAAGCCGCACCCCTTCAGGGAAACTCAGGGAAAGCCTGAAAAACCTGGGAATGGGTGCTATGTATCTGGGTGCTAATAGATGAATGCATTGTACCGAAGGTGTTATTAACGTTTCATCCATGTCACAGATGTTCGAGTTCCATGTCATGCAGGGGAGCGTCAAACAGGCGGCCTCGAGCTCCTTTGGAGGCCTTTCAAGGTTTCTTCAGGGTTGGTTGCCGAATTTGTTCAATCAACCAGACCCGATTCGGCCCCCTTCAAAGGGAAACCAAAAGGACTTTGTTGAAATAATGGCGGTTTGACCATGATTTCAACAGGTTGCATCGCCCAACCCTGCCCCACGCCCCAAAAAGGGGGTTTGGGTCCCGTCCAGTCGGTGGCTCGGAGCGAGGCTGCGGTGTGGACCCAGAACTGTTTCTGGACGGCTTGAAGGAGCGCGCTGCGCAGATTGCAAGGACCGGCTGGCGAAGGCTTGCCAATGTTTCCCTTTTTGGCCACTGAACAAGTATCATCTTTTGGGTCAACTTAAAGTGGGTCTCCTCTTGATGTTTTGGGGGCGGCAAGGGGCTCTGCGGAGTATGACCGTGCGGGCAGGGATTGATCCCTTTTTGGTTGATTCCCTTGGTTTCCTCAAAGGACCGGCCATATTCGTGTTCCGAAGAGAAGGGTACGGCTAGAAAGATTCGTAGGTCTTTGAGTCGGTACCCTTTGCGGGGTTGGCAACAAAGGGAAATGTTTGGGGTTGCTGGGGTTGGTTAGATTGGAGACCATAGGAGAACCTCAATAAGGAATCCCCCAGTAAGAAAACTGCACGATCCGGTTGCGATTTGCGCGGAGTCATCCTTTACAGTTTCTTTCGAGGATTCCTTGTGAACCACGGGATATCATTTGGAGCATCTTTGGCAGCTGCTTGAGCGCTTCCCATAAAAACGCATATGCAACAAGGTGTGATATCTGCGAATGCATGATTTCAGGCACGCATATCTTTTACTTGCACTGTGTGCAATCAATCAACAAACGGTCGCGCTTGCTTGTCGATCCGAAAGGTGGCACAAGCTACGTTGTTCTTGGGGCAACACGGTTCCGTCAGAGCCCGGGCTCCCTTGCTTGTTCCTCCTTTCCAAAGAAAATCTACTGTTGTCTTTTGCACATTCTGATAATTATGAGTTTGTCGCCAAAAAGGACAACCCGGAAATGGCCCGGTTTGTGAACCACAGGAATAAACTTGTTCCAGCTGAGTTTCACTTTCAAAAGTGCCTTCGAGGCGATTCCTTCTGTTGCGACGACCTCCAAAGGTGCTTGCTTTCCTCTAGTTCCCTTTGCTGGCCACAAAGAGGCTCAAACCGCTCTTGGAGAACCTCACTGTTTGTTTTATTCAGGACTCCCGACTGAGTGCCCTCAGGACAAAGCGCCTTCAGTATGACGAGGAGACCGTGGCAAGGATCCTGAAGAACAAGAAGCGGCTCGGCTTTCAGTCTGTCCTTGCAATCTGGTCCAAACAGTCGAACAGAACTGCCCAAACGGGTGCCATGTACTTCTCCCAATTTCAAGGACTCCGCGCCAGAGATTCGGCCAGCGGATGTGGAAGCTATCGGACTCCCGGCACTTTGCCGGGGTTGGGGTTGGGTTTCAGCGCCTAAAGCCGCGCAGCGGCGTTCAGGAAGATCGAGTTCGATGCGCAGAAGCAATCCCGCATGGCGTGCCAGGTCCAGCAGCCCGGCAGAGAAAATCCATCAAGCTGGTGTGGAACATGGGTGCCTTAAATTTCCATGTGATTGTGAATAGTTATGTCTTCCCCTGTTTTGGTTGGAAGGGACATATCACTACTTGGACATGTGTGTTGATACATTTTGTTCGGAACTTAAACAAATGAAGTAAACGTGTGTTTGTAAGAGCACCCATTCTTGGGCCGCTTCAAAGGGACGCCTTTTTGAAATGTTGGGGTCCCACATTTGACGCATCTCCATGTATCATGAACATATGTGTGTAACATACACATATAACTATTACATCTTATCTTTAGCAGATGGAGTGTCAAGATACGTTTTATATGTTGCAGGGCATTAAACGTGAAGCAGGTAAGGTAATTTACGTTGTTACATTGAATCGCTAAAAGGAAAACACAGAAGAGGATAGCCAAATGGCTCAGTCCGATCCTACACGGGTCCCGCTATGTATTTCCCTTTGCGTGGTTTTAACATCATTCTGAGACTTCCTAAGTTTGGCGGAGCTTTCTATGGTGTGATGTGTACAGGGAGCATATGGCCACTGAGCGCTGTTGCCCCTCCTCGATTTGACGGTGATGTCAGGATCGGGCTCACGCAGATGGACATCTCCAGCATCCGAGAGTTCGAGATGGTGGAGCTGGCGAAGCAGCACCTTGATGCTATGGGACCCGATCGCACCGGGTTTTCGAAGACCCGGGTTCCGATCGCTTGCACCCAAAAAAACAACATATATGTTTAGCATCCAGAAGGAACTCGTTTGTTGGAACCTGTTTTTGGGTCACCTCATGAATGCTTGGGTTGTCGGGGAAGTTGAGTTCTTTTGAGGGAAAAGGTTTGGCCTGAGTTCAATTCAACCATGACAGGGGGGGAGAACGGGACACCATCTACAGATTCGGGGTAATTACTGTGTTTTAGATGAATTTGGTTGTAAGGAGAAGGACGCAGTGTCGCGTGGTTCGAAATTCTGCGTGGTTATGTTTTGACTTGTATGATTCTGGTCTGAATCTGGCAGGTCCCGCGATGTTTGGCGGATGACTGCTATTTGCCTACCCTGTAATCGGGAGAATATGGGGAAATGACATTGCAATTGACCACCACACAAACTAGAGGGGCGAACAGCGCATTTTGCGAGTGCAATTTAAGGAGTTGCTTGTGACCTCTCACACGTTCAGGTTTTGGTTGCTTTTGGCTTGACCTGTTCTATTTCCGCACTGGCTTGGGCGACGTTTGCATTGGCTTCAAGAACTAACTGTTTACATGCCCAGTTCCGTCAAGTTGAAGCGCGTGACGTGACTGAAGGCTTCCTGGTGAAAGGCCTATGAACGAGGGTTACCTACTAGCAGCCATCTAGCGCCACATGTGGGCGGGGCGAAGCGTGATGAACGAGCACCAACAATAAGCTTGCGGGCGTTGCCCAATATTTTGAGTGGTCCTGGAGTGAAGTCTGATACGAGGGTCGTGTCCATTTGATCTATCACTGGGGAGGCGAGAGTTAATTACTCCATGTCAACGCGCCTCTCTTGTAGCTGTCCTTTGAAGGTCAGGTTGGTTGAGAACGGATCGAACATACGTACACGTTTTCAGTTTGGCTCGAATCATTTGCCAGTGCCATCGCTTTTCCAACACGCCTGGGAGGACTTGTTTATGCGGAGGCTTGCGGGTTCGTCATTGATTGATGCGCAGAAGTGTGCCAATTGTTGTTTTTGAAAAGGTCACCTGTTTTAGATGCCCTAGATGCTATATTGTAATTTGTGGAAGGATTTTACTGCAAGTGACCAGATGTATGTTTGTGTGTGTGGTCGGCCCAGACCGCCTTTTTGTTTTTGAAGGAGGGGCTTTCCTTCAACACCAACTGCCAGAGCAATGTTTTTTGTCCCTCATGGCTGTCGAGTTGCATCAAGGGGTAATTCAGCGTCGGCCCTCCAAACGTCAACCCGCACGAGGCACAAGAGGGCGGAGCAGGAGCTGCTGAAGATGCAGCAAAAGGACGGGAAGTTTGGTTCGGAGCGCCAAGATGGAACTTTTAGATGGGACCAAACATGGTTGTTGTTAGGAAACATTTTACATTTCTGCTTATTGTGGTGTAGTGGGAATCCCCACTGGACTGCTAATTAATTTTGTTTTGCTCCCCTTCCAATGTCAACCAAGCAAAAGGAGAGAGAACCTTCAATTGCCTGATTGAAGATGCGCAAGATGCGATATGTTCAACCAACAAAAGTGTAATTGCTAATGGGGCAGTGTTGGGCCAGACCCCTTAATTGCCCTAGAAACCCTTGTGTTGAAACAACATCCTTGTGGTTTACCTGTAACGGGGACCCGGGTGTGGTTGTTCAGACCAGTTTGCGAATTGAAAAGGAACCAATCCTGGGCCATTGGGTCTTAGGATTTTGGCTATTTGCTTGGAGAGCATTTTTGGAACCCTGGTGCACTGGTGGAACGTAGTGCCGCTTTTTAAGGGGCTGTCTATCTCCTTTTTGTCGGGTTGGGGTACCTCACTTTGAGACAGTCCTACTTAGCTGCTACTGGGGTGGACCTGTTTGTTGAATATGTATTTACAACCACCAAGGGAACGATTGTACAACAGCTTTGGACATTGTGCAGGAAAAACACCTTGACATATAGGGTTTTAGATATGAGTGGCCAGTGAAATATTTGTGGAAGTGAGTTCAAGTAGTCATGGAGATGTTGGTATCACGGCACTTGCAATCCCAGTGAGTTCCAGACACATTGCTTGCCTCGCATTCCTGCCCGGTGGATTCTAGCTGTGTTTTTGGTTTCGTGCTTGTGGCTGTGTATTTCCTTGAAATCAAACTAAGAAGCACACACACACACATCATTGTGCAGTGGATTCCCTTGTTTTGTAGCTTTTCCTGTGTTTAGATTGGCAGTCCCTGGAAGCGAGCACATGGGGCGTATCCAATTGCGGCTTCGCTTGTTTCTGTTGGAGGGTGGATCCACGGGTCGTTTGGTATCCAAAGCAATCCGTAGACTTGGCAGTTTCCAGCCATGCCCTCGGACACTTTCTACCTTCGCGTCTTTTCGGGATGCATGACACACGTGACACACCCCACTGAAGGTTAAAATTTGAGCAAGGGATCAGCACCAAGTAGAGGAACTGCTCTGAGAAGACACCCACGCGCAGGAGTATGAGGCGCAAGATCAGTGGTTCAAGAATCGGCCGGACCTGTACGGTGCGGAGCACAGAGCGTTGTTGCGTTCTCCCGCAGAGCACGTCTTGGAAAGCTGCTTCCCCAGAAGCATGCTGCGGAAAGCAGGTTTCAGATTGCCACCTTAAGGCGCTTAAGGGACGCCCCTTTCTTTGAAGTGATATAGATATTTTGAACGAACACGCGGGGGAGTCTGGAGAAATCCGAATAAATAAGCCTCGCGAATTAACTTGCCAACCAGGAGCTGATTCTGGAAGTTTGACGGGGGGGGTGCGTTCCTTCCAGTTGGTTCTACTTTTGTTTGGCCTTGGCCTTTCCTTTCAACAGGGTCCCTTAAAGAATACATTTGGACCAGTTAAAATGTCACCTTTACCAGTTGGAGGATCCCCTATTAAATCAGGTTGCCTGTGCATGTCTCCTTTGAGAAGCCCAGTTCAATTCAACCACCAAGATCCCTCTCAGGGTGATCTTTCCGTGCTGCCGCGTTTTCGATTTTGTGCAGGCATCAAGGAGGTGAACCGCATGAACACCGAGCGCCAAGTCCGCGACGACAAGCATGCCTTGAGGCGCCTCGTTTGAGACAAGCCTGGCGATTGCCTTTGGTTGAGCAAAAATGGAATCCCGGGACTCACATCCGCGCATGGATAAATAGGGGCGTGCCCCAGTTATTTAATTGTTAGGGGGGGAAGAGCCCCACATTGATCCACTATGTTGATTGATCCCGGGTTAACATGAAGGAAGTCAAGCTGAGCATGATCCAATAGACTAGAAAAGTCAACCATTTCTGTGTTTGGTCCTTGCTTAGCTGTGTGAACTGAATGTAAGAGACAGTCCAGTTACGTGAAATGCCGCAGAAAAAGAATGAGTCATCCTCCCCAAATGGACCAGGCAGCCAAGGAGAGTCGGGCGGAGCAGCGGGCAGTCTTTTAAGTGGTAGCAGTTTCTTTTCTTTGCCAGTGTTCAATCAGGGTCGCTATACTTCTCTTTTCAGCCGGTTTAAACAACACTTCTTGAGTCCTTTTCGGCTCCTTTTCGGCTCTGCAAAAGAAGCATGCCATTTGCATGCAGCCTTTCTTTCAAGGGTTCAAAGGGGCCTTTGGCTTGCATTTTCTTGTACATTCTGATACAAGTTACAAGCGACAGGCACAAAGAACGAACCCTAGGGGAGAAGAGGGCTCAGGAGCATCACGTACGGAGGGCTCAGGAGCACCATTACCATCATCTAGATTTGGAGGTGTATTGAGCTGCCGGCGGGGTTTGGGAAGCTCGCGGAGCTGCTTGACAAGATTGATCGGATCTCTCATGTCTTCCTTCCACTCTACCAGTGGTGGAGGGGAAAGAATGGGCGTGGCCCAAACTTGCGATGGTGGGGGGTTATCAAGATCACGGCCATGCTGGACGCCCTCTTGCAGGGTCTCAACAGCGACGAGTCCTGACCTGGGCTCAAATCCCTCAAATCCCTCGAACAACTTGAAGGCACTCTGCACTGACAAACCCAGGTATGCGTTGGACCAGGAGAATGCCCAGACGGAGAACGACAAGAGAAATCCCTTCGAACGGAGGCCTTGGCTTCGCTGGGGGGCGGGTGCTTGCTGGATTTGGTACCCTGTTCAAGTTGCTTCAAAGGGAAACCAAAATGCACGCCACGTATTTTAGGGCCCCCATTGTTTCACAGACCCTTTGAGAGCGAAATCTGGAGGAGTGCATCAGAGTGTGCATGTGGTTGTCGTTTGATTTTGCATAAGTGCCTATGTTTGTCTATGTCCATGTTTGTGTCCATTCAGACGTTGCCTCATTTGAGTGTCATATGGCTCAACGTGTCCAAAGACCCCATGTATGGTGGTAACGGAGTGAATTTCTGCATTGTACGAATCTTCCCCAGATGTCTTAAGATCCACGCAAGCAATATGGTGAGGCTTATCAAGATCGGGTTGGGCCCATTTGTTCCCTTCTGCCGAGGTGGATGTCAGAGTGCCACTGTTGTGGATCCAGAGTTGGTGAGGAAACCCAAGCCCCCCCTTTGGATCACCTTGAGTTTGGTGAACCCACCGCCTTGTTAGTTTTGACATGTTTGAATCATTATTATTGTTGAAAGACCTTTTTTTAGTTTCTTTTAGTTTCCCTTTAAAGCGAAAGCTTTTGCAACATTTTGTCCAACCCAAATCCCACCCCCCCTCCCCCCCTCAGCCCACTGCCACGCGAACCGCAGGGACTGCCGCCCGGTGTCTGCGTGGGACACCACACTGACCAAAGTGGAGGCGCGGGCCGAGGGGACGCGCGCGCCTGACGGCCACGCAAGAGTTGCAACGCCCAGGCTTGAGCCAGCCTCAACCCTTATCAAACCCTTGCCCCACACTCTGAACCAGCACTTGTTTCGTGTCTTTCTCGGCATCTTCGGTTTCGCTTCCAACGAACGACATGAGCCCCGCTCTGCGCTTTCGCAGGAGCTGGAGGCCTACCGCCGGCGCCGGGAGGCGCGGGAGGCGCGGGCCAGGGAAACTGCCAAGCGCACCGAGGCGGGAACCGGGGCTGGGGCTGGCAACTCGGTTTCTCCCTCAAAAGGTGGTTTTACGCATCAGATCCGTCAGATCCGTCCAGGTGTGGTTTGCAACTCAAAACACAGATGGTATTTTGTCATTGGGGCGTCGTTTTTGGAGCCACCCTTAAATATGGTTTGAAGGGAAACCAACAACAAGACACCGTTTGTTGGGTTAGCCCACTTTGGCACACACAATGTCCCTGAAAACAATCGATTTGTAGAAACAGCTGCGGGGCCATGCGGAGCCAAAGCCAGTGTTTTTTTTTTTTTTTAAGTAGCGGATGTTGAAGGGAGGAGTGTAGGGAGTTGCTGCTTGCCTTCAAACACACATTATGGATGAGCAAATGCACAGGAACGGGATTGCCTTTTTGCCACAGATCAACGAGCAAATGAGCTTTCACCCCCATGAGCCCTAGCGATTTCACACTCGGTAATTTGTGGCTCGCTATTGTTGGTCCACTGATTTTGTGCGTTCTTCACATGGAACCTGAGGTTAGGTGCCTCATAGACCACAAGGGATGGTAAAGGCTGCTTCGCATGAGGTTTGGATGGGGACCATCCACCATGAATCTGCACTTAATGTTATCACTTGGTGAGTTTGAAGTATTGCATCCCCCAACACCGGTTTGCTCCAGGAACCTTCCGGTGGGCTCCATGACAATATGGGCGAGTAAACGCCTCTGAAGGCCGCCGGTCCTGAAAGCCAAGGAAAAACTACCCTCTTTTATTTTGGGAGGGGTATCCTATGCCCGAAAGCATAGCGAAGGTGTTTTCGGTGCGGAGCCCTTGGGCGAACTTGAAAGATCACATTGCACAGAGCAACTTGCACAGAGCAACCTGAGACTTGCACAAAGTGTGTGTGTGTGTGCGCTCGGTATCGAGCCTGTGCAAGTTGCTTTGTTCAAGTTCGCTGGGTAGAAAGGTTGGGCGGCTAGGGTTGGGAGCTTGGGTAGAGAGATAGGGCAGCGCCTCGGCGTTAGCAGCTAAGTAAGCTAGAATAGCTTTCTGCGGCGCAAGGGTGGGAGTTCTAGCATGCTGTGCCGAAAATTGAGGGCCGGTTTGCGTTGAAAGGCATACATGTTCACGGTGCAGGCATCGGAATCCTGCTTCCAAAGTTGACACGACCAAGCAAAACGAATTAGACGACCCTAGTGCAAAACACGGCCACCCCTCCCCCCAAAAACAACCATCCTGGCTGGAGGGACAAGCGATTTATTAATAGGATACCTGAGGGTCGACCAGACTTCCTCTTCGGCCCCTGTCCAATGGGACTCCCCCGTTTCCCGGACGCGAGAAGCATCAAAAATCCAATTTCCGAGTAACAAATGTAAAAGCAAATCTAGACCGGAGGAGCATTGTTCAGGGTTTTTCGCATCGTGAAGGGTTCTTCCGTGCGGGTTCCTTGGACCAACTTGCGCAGAGCAACTTGCGCAGCACCAGCTTGCAATGAGCAACTTGCGCAGAGAGATTTGCTCAGAGCAACTTGGACCAACTTGCACAGTGAGCCTTCCCTGAACAACTTGCACAGGAAGCTTGAGCAGGGCAACTTGCGCAGAGCAGCTTGCACACAGCAACTTGCACAGCGCGATTTGCACACAGCAACCTGCGCAGAGGCACTTCACAGACAGTAAGTGGCTCGCAGGGTATGTTCTTCGGGGGTATGGATTTCGTTCGCGCGCATGAAACATCCGGGCGGGGGTGGGGCGCGGGGGGGGGCTTTCCCCAAGAACCGTGGGAAGCAACGCATTCGGGCCACGCGTCCTTTGGTTTGAGGGCAAAATTAGGAAACTCACATTTTGGGTGGTTCGTGGGGTTCGTGTTGAGAAACCGCTGGTTTCTTCCGTCAGGCGGCGCCCGAGGCAGATCGCACCTCACAGGCCTGAACAGTTGCCGAGTTTGACATGGGCTTTGGCCGGGGATGGGCCAACCCAATTGTTTAAGCCGCGCTTGCTTCCACCTTGGTTTGGTTTGACCTTTAAGAGCGGCCATGGTCCAATTGTTCAAGCAAATCATGCCCTGATGCCCCACCCCAGCAATCTCCAAAAGGGTGCCATCCAACAGCACAACACACCAGATTAAGCCTCAATGTCCGAATAAAACAAAGGTCGGACAGAATGCAACGCAGGATCAATGGTGTCGTGATGAGATACTTGGTTTTTAGAGCAGATCCTGCACTGTTGGGTGAGCCCCCGTCAACATGAAACCGTGAACGGCGCCCTTGGTGTTGTTTTCGTTTCTGGTCCCAGTCGGTCTCCCCTACCCGTACCTTCATCGTTCCGAAACAGACGGGGATGGGGCAGAACACCCAATGTTATGGAGGCACGGTGCACATGTTTTGTACTCATTGCCATGCAAAGGGGAGCAAGACTCACTTCAGGACTCTATGATTATGATGGATACAGAAGGGGACCATGACTCTTTCCTTGAATAGACTGCAAGTGCAAGTGGTTTGGTGTGGGGGCGCCGGCTCAAGTGAGTTTGCTTGTGTCGTCTGGTGCGCCCAGGTCTCGCAGCTTTCATTTCGTGTGGAACGATTCAATGGGAACCCCGGCAAAGCGAGCCGCGCCTTTCCCCGACGTTGGGGGGAGCGGTATGCTGAGAGTTCCTTGCTTGGTTCCTCGTTTCAGAGGTTGGCGAAACATGGTTCATGAGGATGTGTTATTTTTCTTATCGTGACTTGTTCAACGGCAACTTTTCCCTCTTTAGTTTGGTCTTCTCGCCACATATGGTCAACCCAACAGGGTAACTGAACATCTGGAAAGGAGACTTTTGGCTACCGATATACATGGTCATGACAGCTACACCTCGAGCTTTTCATGCAGTGCCTTTGACACTTCTCGGGGAGATAAAGGGACCAATGTAGGAGATGTCCAAACTCATGGACGGGGGTTTGATAAGTGTACTTCCCTTTAGCGGGGTTATGGCTCACTGGGGACATGTAAGGCGCCCTGGTAGGGGTCCAATATGGTCCAACCATTTCCAACCAAAATGAAAGGTTCAGGAGTTGTACCATGTTAAGGTCGTTCCCCGCCGAAAACGAGAGTCTTTTGGACAGAAGGGCTATGTGAAAGTGGCTCAAATTTCGGGGTACGCCTTTAAGGGTACGACGTTGACATCGCCTTTTGCCGTCTGTGTTTGTTGGGTGCACGTTCCTGCCAGGAGCCTGCCGACGTGCCCACGCAAACTGCAGAGGCCGGGGGTTTGGCACGTTGAGGGAGCCTGGGCCTTCCAACATGTCGGCTTCCCAAACATGTCCGGTAGACTTTGTTCGGATTTGTTGTTCTCTCTTGGCATACTTAAAACATGTGGACGTATATCTTTTGGAGGGTGCCCTTTTCACCTTCAAAGAAAACCCATCGTACCTTAAAGTTCCATGTGGCTGTTTGCTGGGTCCCATTGGCTTCAGAAGTTCCACATTTGGAGCACTTCCATTTGCCCAGACCTGCTGGTAAAACCATCCGGATCCTGCGCGTTCCAAGCGATTCTGTGTCAAGATTCTTGTCATCGTTTGGTGGTACAAACATACCTTAGTGGTGTGTATCCGTCAAGCGTGGGGAAGCCTCAAACTGGTGGGCTTCTCTTTGGCGGCCCTGTAAACCCAGCCCAACCGGGTGCCCTCCACCAAAATCGCGGCCACCTAAGTTACTCCACTTGTTCAGTGGGCACTGTTTAGTATTCCCCCACTAACACATGCCCTTTGCTACCAGCTGAAAAATCGGGGGTTCGGCTGCCGCCATGAGTTGTTCACCCGGGAGGCAGTTCCCATGCCTCCCCGCGAGTCCGATCCCATGAAGCTCATGCTACAGGCGCGGGGATGGGTAGCCTTCCAAAAGCCTCTCCAGCTCGACGATTGTGAGGGCAAAAAACAGCACAAGCAGTCCATGAAATCGCCCCAGCACTCTTGGACCTCGACAAGGGTGCGTCTTGTTTGGCCTTGTTGGGTTCCTCAGTTGGAGACAACCCCCAAAGTGGAAGAGAATGATTGGAACACGAAACTTTCGACGGGAATCCAGCGACCTCCATCTAGTGAGCAGCCTTGCAACAGTTATATAATCTGTGCTTAGTTTGTGAAAGACGAGAAGGGGGCCGAAGCACCTGACTGACCCAGGCAAAACCATGGGGATTCCCCATACATGATGTCCGTGGAGCTCATGTAAAGGGAAGGCGTAAACTGAGTCAATGTTTGTTCCTAAAGCACACGATAATGTTTGCGTGTGCATGGCACAAACCCAAGGCTGCGGCTTTGGGGGGCCCTTCACCCCTCTGAAACCATACCCTGAAGATGCCGACCAGTTTTTGCCACACGGTTCTGCCAAGCGACCCGCTTACCCGACAGTCATATTAAGCCCCCTGTGGGCAGGGACTTTCTGTGGGGAGATTCCGCTGAAGGGCCCTTGACAAGCATACAAAAAAGAAGTTCGCAGAAGGCCAGAATGTGGCATATCACGTGCAACAAGTGATGCAGAGGACCCTGATTTGAAGCATGCTGATTTGTCGTTGTGTCCCTTCAAAACCGTTGCACGAGAGGATGATTTGAAGCTTTTGAGCAGATTCAACCTCACGCTCACCTTCCCTTACTCTTGCTTCGGTTCTTGCCAGGCTCATCACGAGGAAGTGGACCTTTTGGAACAATACGCGAAGCTGCTGACGGCTCGCTGAGAGAAGCAAAGACGGCCGAGATGGCCACGAATTGTGGGGTGCTCTCCGAATTCCCGTTGGTACAATTTCTGTATTTGTTTGGTGAATTCGGGCATGTTTGGTAAATTGCCACCCTGGCACCTCTTTTAGGGAGAGCAACCCTATGTAGAGATTATGTTTCACCAGAACAAAAAGAAGGCTCGTGTTCTCTGATGTCCGGGGAACGGTAAGATTGAGGTGGACAAGATAAGAACTCCTGTTGGCAGACCAGACACCTGAGATCCAGAGCGGATGCCAACCACAGTTGTACACAGCCAGAAAGGAGAGCGGGCGACGCGTTCAGAAGTCCAAGTGCCCACACTTGCCGCATGTTGTCGCAACACTTGGGAGTTTGTTGCATGTGTCTCTTGCAGCCAGAGAGAGCAGTCATGCACTGACATTGGACCCTCAAAAGCCAGGCAGAGGTCACACGGGCAGTCTACACACTTGAAGGGTATAGGGAAATGTATAGGAAGTCAAAGTAGTTTAAGGAGATCAAGTCCGGAGCCCTGGAGGCCGGTGAAGGCCTGGATCACTGGATCAAGGTCGCTGGGCCGAAGGCTTTGAATTGGTAAGCAAATCACTCAATTGCTCAATTGCATGCAGCGCATTCAGCGTGCATACTTTGGTTCAGTGTGGTTGTCTTGGATGGCTTAGCAGGCGTTGCCTCGCTCATTGATGCTGGGATGCCCTCAACCTCTAGCCGTTGCATTCACCCGGGATTTGGTACTTTATGACTTGAACAAACCAAATAGAACAGAACAACCACCAAGACATTGATAGCAACAAAGCATACAACATTCAGCAAATCATTCAAGCATACCAGCACAAGCACATCCGAGAAAATAAGACAAACACCCAAACTCAGAAAAACAGCATGGAACAAACAGAGCAACATACTAACAAACCCAAAACGCAAGCCCACCAAACAAATTTTGGTGATGCTGGTTGAAAGATCAATCAACTCTACAAATGTTATTGAGCATAGAACAAGTAGAAATTTGAACATCATATATTCAACTTATACTCGTGTTATCATAGACCCAACAACGGCAGGTTGTTTATATTGATTTATTAGAATGGCCTAAACTAAGGAAGGCAACACATGATTTAAAGACAGTGTTCAAAATGCAGCATTTGATGTCATTAATGAAGCCGGTGTTCAAGAAATGTTCCACTAAAATAAAGTAAACGACTAACTATTAGATTGCGATGATGTTAGTTGTTCAACTGGTGATAAAGATATTGAAATATTTGAACACACAATCGTAAATTAAATTCATTCAATAAATTCGAAATCGAAAATACTCTGAAACACAAAGCCCATGATTGATTGTAGAAGTAAGACAATATGTACAAAGTATTAAATCATTTTGAAAAGCATTGAAGAACAAATGCAGTATTTTGTCATTCTTCAAAACTGAGTCGCTTAATGAACTGGCTAACAACTGAAGATGACCGACCAAGCCACTGTTGTGACTATTGTTTTCATACCTTCGCTAGGAAGGAGCTATCAACAAAGCATTATGAAAAGGTTGTATGGTCGCACATGGATAGCGATACAAGTTACGAAAGGAATGACGGTTCATTGAAATCTAAAAATGCAACAGTCGACATGTCCATTCGTAGTTTAATTTTATAGAGACGTTGAATATAGGACTGTAATTTGAAGAACACACACCATGCGACTAATACGTTAAATGTTGTAACATTTATTGATCATACACGCTAGCCGTATTTGTATCATAGTTATGAGTGTTTAAACAACTGTGTTGAACAATTATCCGCAATGTACAACGTCATGTGTAACAACATTATGTTGCAAGAATAATTTGTATGCATGTTTTGGACATGAAGAAGAACCATGAATTAAGAACTCATCAATATGTTCAATATGTAACAGCACCAGAACAGCACTTTAAACCAGCAGATGTAAAAGTCCGTGAACACTGCCATGCCACACAAGTATGTGCAGAGGCCACCACATGAAAAGTGCAATGTGGAGTATGTATTTATATCGACATGACAGAATTCTATTATTATTTGATATTCTCACAACATATGACGAATATTTGATCGTAGGTAAAAGTAAACAAAACACACTGATTATATGAAACCTATCTAATAGATATTATAACGGAACACAGCGAACCGTTTATCATGTGTTCATTTGGCTCAGTACAGTTTAAGAGGGCAGTATAGCGTTTCTTTCAGCATCATTACACAAATTAGGTGACTGAAGTACATATGGAAAAAAAACAGTGTGAACATTCAACAATGATAAACTGTTGTACTATACACAAACTAATCCTTAATTGTAATTCAATACAGAAGTAGATGTATTAGTTGCACATGGTTATTACCCTCACTATTGTATGAACTCACTCATGTGATAAATGGAACGAACAACAGTTACAATGCAAATAATACTTTTACAGCCAACTATACGAACACAACAAAACATGCAATCGATACACGGGGCAAAAGCTATATTTGTTACTATCAATAATCTAGGATCATATCAAGTTTTGTATCCAATCACGGATGTTTATTTGCTCACTGCTTGAAAAAACGGATATGCCACTCCGGAAGTCTATTGGGTGGGCCTAGGCCCCTGGCGTCGCTGGGCCTCGGAGCTGCCGATCTTGGCGCGGCTCAACGAGCTCCGCGCGGAGGAGCTGGAGGACCCCAGGCTCGGCCTCTCGCGGTGGTTTTGGGCTTCGTTTCGTTTGTTGCGCCGGGCGGGGGGGGGGGCGGGGGGGGGGGGGCTTCATTGGACATGTGACCAAGCTGACAGGAGGGTGTTGGAAGGCTACTTTTTACTTTTGGGGAAGTCACGGGAAGTCCTTCTACTTCCATGGTTGTTGGAAAAAGGGTACTGAGAATTCGACTGAAGGAGCAGCTCGATGTTTGCCAAAAGGTTTGCCTTGTGTACGGTGTTTGGTGAAGTATTTGTGACTGACAGCGAAGCAACACATGAAACATCAAACGTAATTCATAGCGAGACCTGACTCCAATCATACGAGAAATTTGCCTTGTCTTAAAGGGGCGGAGCCAAACGCACCCTTGCCCTCACAAGAAGGGGCATGTTCCGTGTTTCCTTTTCAAACGGAAACAAAGGGACCAACTCTATAGGAGTTGACATCACAAATAGATGCGGTGTTGGCAAACGAGGTCAATGAGGGCACACGGGCGCTGGGTTGGAGAACGAGGCAGCAACACCTGACCACGCAAACATCTAGCAAACGACAGCTGTAGCTCACATCTCCCCCTGTTCACATAAATCGACCAACTTCAAAACAACAACATATCGTGAGCGCAATGCAGACTGAAATACAGGGGTGGTTGATTTCCCCAAATCATCTCTTGATTCCCTTGGTTTCAGTCGACCCAACGATTGAAAACAAACTTGGACAAAATCAGCCAACTTCCAAACAAACATCCCAGTTGGTAGTGTGTCATTTGACGCGAGTATTGCGCCATCTACCAACTTGCTTGCAATCCCCGACCACTGCCAGGATCCCTTGGATGCATTTCCCTTCAAGAAGTAATATTTCCAGATTTTTGTAAGGCACGTGGTTGTGGATGTACTCGAGGGTAAAAGCAAATAGACGGCGCAATTCCCTTGGGGAACTAGAGGGGATGACTTCCCATGATGGACCTGGGATGACTTGGGGCTTGTGCCACGTACTTCCCCCAAGTGTATCCGAGAGCCCGTCCCAGGTTCCGAGTGGTTCTCAGCCGCCCGGACTGTCTGCGCTTCCGCCTGGCCGGCAGCGCCGAGGTCTTCGCTTTGGCACCGGCCTCGGGGCCTGCGGGTTAGACGGGACGCACCGACGAACCAACCCCGAACTGATTGGTTTAGAGCTGAGCATGGCAGAAGCAAAAGGAAACTCGATTAAGAAGTCCTGAGCTGGGCTTGAAGACTCACTGATCTAAAATATCAAAAAGCCCTGCGGTGTCTTCGGGTATGGTTCTTGGCTGATTAGCACGGCATTGTGAATGGTTTGCCCTCGGCTTATCCAGGGATGGTTGTCACCCAAAGAACCCAACAGGGGTCCGTGAAAATATGGATTTCCCAAAAGCTGGTTTTCAGGACCTTGAATGCCTTGAGCCTCGCAAGTTTTAATTCTTGCGGGATCAATGGAGGTGGGAACGACCTAAACATGAATCGTCCAACAGAAGTGCAGAAAGCTCGAACGATAGAACGTGGCTGATACCCTCTTGTGTTCCTTTCATACACCATCCAAAAGGGGGGTCCCCTCCTCACGTTGGCAAACCGGCAGCTCTGCAACATCTCTCTGAGATTGGCAAACGATGACTGGGCCCATGTTTGCGTTTCTTTGTTTTTCAGGGATCGCCGTTGGACCCTTATGAACCCAGTACTTGGGTCTCAGTGCTCCCGAACTCCCACAGTTGTCCGCTGGGTTCCAGCCCCTTTTCTTGTGGCGAGTTTTCACTCTAGATAAGTTCGATGTGCAAAACGGCTGTTGTTTTCATGTTATTGCTGGGATATCAGGAACCCCAAGGAAACCACTGGTTGCAAGTCGGCAGTGAGTGCTCGTCGCTACAGAACCTGAGTGGCCTTCACACTGTCAATGTGTAGCAGATAAAAGAAACTGGCTGGAGTAAACCTTGTCCACATATGGTGCTTGACTTCTGCCAAAACACAATACAGCAGTTTTTTTTTTTTTTTTTTTGTAAACTCTCATCTTATATTTTCCGCAGGTTACTTTGGTACTATAGTAGACATGTAGCCAAAACTGGGCATTTAAGAGGCTTGAACCTAGATCTGAGATTTCACCTGACATCTTACTCAATTGCTCCACTCACTATGGCAGGAACAGATATCAGCTGCATCTTGTCTCTCTGTTTGCAGCTTGGCACATCTAAGCTTCAAGATTGCTGGACCCCTATGCTTTGACAGCTGGCCATTTGCAGGGTTTTCCGTGAAGAACTGCGATGATTGGGCGAGAGTTTGTTTGCTTTGCCCCTCAGTTCGTATTTGCGACGTGATTGATATGATGAAGCCACCTTCCTGAACGATTGCCCTTAAACCAACCGCGCATGCTCACAAGCATGGCGAGGCTTCCTTGCTCCCTGCGACATTCGAGGACTCAGTGCGCTAGACAAGCGACCGTCTGTTTGCGTCTTGCCAGCGGTTTCGCTTGACAATTTGCACGAATGTCACCCGCCGTCCTGGCTTCAGCCCACTCCATTGTAAGAGGAGAGGACTGGCATAAAATATTTGACAAGCCGCAAGCTTTCGATCGCGGAGTCATGTCTCATAGGTCCCTCAATTTTCCACTCCAGCCCTGAGGAAACCAATCGAACTTCCCTGAGAATCCATTGATTGCGCGTCTGTCGGCTTTACGCGACTCGCAATGTGTCATGTCGGTCGTGCTGCCGCTGGACAAAGATGAGCCTTCCATGCTCGCTGCCTGGCGACAAGGATAGCAGCATGAAAGGGGGGAGGCAAGAATAAATCCCTAGTGGATAAACAGGGAGCTGTCCCCGTTTATTGAGTATGCTTCACTTTTGGAGGGAACACACTCCAGGTGGATTGAGTCCGGGTTAACCTCGTGCAGAAGAGTCATGGGAAGGGGAGCCATTGCAGGCTGGTCTTCAAATGGATCAGCGAGGGTCGTGACCTTTCAATGCTTCCCCTTGCCACAAGAAGCTTGCAAGGCAACTGTTGCATTGACCAACTCGATGCTCAACGCTACTTCTCCCCCTTTGAGGGCCAATGATCTATGTCAGAGGATTCCTTTGATTGGTACAGTCCTCCAGGTGAATCCAAAAGTTGACGCTTTGGGCCAGGCTGTTGCCCAATAGCCAAGGGCAACACCTGAACAACCACTCTACTGCTATCATCAAGAGAGCAAAGCAGGGCTGTTCAATGGGTGCTAGCCTCTACAGAGCAACTCAATTCAACACAGTTGAGTTGGGTATTTCTCAGAATCAAGCACAACACTGGTTCGATGTCCTTTGATTTACCTTCAACACTCCAGAGGAAAGCCATAGCCCATTTTAAAGGGGGTAGTTGTTGGTGTAGTGTTTCCGTAGTTTGTTTTTCCCCTGTAGTTTGTTTGCCTTTTATTCTCGGTCCCGAGAATACAGGCTGTGCAGGTATTCCCTCCCCCGTTATCTTTACGGACTGTCCACTCAGAGATGGATGTTCGACGTGACTCTTGATCGACCTTTGCACTCTGTCGCTCTCCACCAAATGGGACTTCCGCAGGGGTCAAAGACCAGTTTCTCTATGCTCGTACCCACAGGCACACAAGCCAAGAATTGTTGCATCCACAAGGGGCGGTGTGGCAGGGTGCATGGTCCCTTGGCTTCCTGGCTCCCTGACAAAGTGACGAATTCTGGCGCTCCCCACCCACATCCCTCGGATCTTCTGGGTACCCCGAACCTCTTACGCCTTGCAGAAATATGATAGACTCCGTCCCGCAATTCGCCACCCAAACTCAAGGACTGCCTCAAAGAGATGTGGGCCTCATACGCCCCAGTGCCAAATAAGACCTGCAAGCGTGGAGGGAGTCTTAGAATGTTGTTTTGTGTCTTTCTTTGCGGGGCGTTGTTGGACCGACACTGCGTTGGGGGGGATAAAGTGTAGTGAGTTGAGACAGTTTAGTGAGTAGAGACTGCTCGGTACCCGCCAGGGCACTCTTTTTCGAAGTATACCTGAGCTATCTTGATTGGACAGACATAGTCTGAGCCCCTTTAAGAGGTTTTCTCTTGGGGGCATGCCATTCTTTTCAGCTTGTGTTCGCCCAATTTGGCAAAGGGACCCCGTGGCTTGCCGAGGTTTCGTCTCCCCCCGGGACGATGGAGCATGAGGCGAAGCCGGCGAGCCGGTGCTGCAATCTCGAGCAGAGCTCGGGATCTATTCGGTGTTTCTCTGTGTTTTGCCTCCAAGCGACTAACAAATGGGGTCATCACACAACACACAGGGGTCATGGACCTATTTTTGAAGGGTCATGGAGACTCCAGGTCGGTTCAATCAGTGAAAAGATCACGACTTGCATTGTCCAATTTACCCCAAGTTTGTCGTTTGCACAAAGCACATGAATTTTGCAATTTGATGGCCAAGCTTGGAAAGACCTAAACCATCTCGACCTCGCAAGGTCATGGATTACTTACCCCCCCCCACGTGCTAGCACATCCTGGATTGCCCTAAGTACAGATTTGAAGAATCCCAGAAAGAGTTGTAAGAACATATTCGATCTTCAATCTTCAATCCAGGATGTGCCAGCACGTTCAAGCACATGCTGAATTACACTAAGTACTGATGTTGGAATTTAAGTCCAAAACCGGAGTGCATTCTTGAGCATCGTGTTTAGAAGAGCTGGAAAGTGCATTTCACATGCATGTTTACGGCAACACCCCAAACTCTTTTTTTTGGAACAAAGACCTGAGTATTCCGGGGCATGCATGTAAGCCATACCTATATATATATAGTTGCCAGAGTAGTCTTTGAATCTCTGATTTACTCCCCTTTTTCAAAGCCGCAGGCCACGCCAACGGCCACAAAGACTCTCAGCGCGGACGAGGCCGAGCAGTCGAAGCTGTGGGTCCAGTTCAGCGGATCCCGGCGGAACCCGCCAAAGAAGGTCAACCTTAGTCGGTTAAGTCCGGAAAATTGGCCATCCCCCAAAAGGGTATGATTTAAATTTGCCTACCTGTTTTCAGGGGCATGCTTTCGATCCCGCTTTGTCAGGTGCCCCCGCGAAACACGGAATCCACCCCCAAGAAAGGGTTCCCGGGAGTCCTTGCCATGGGTTTGGCCACTCGACCTGGGATTAGTCATGAAGCCTCGAACCACAGGGATTCGATGCTGCCTTGTTGTCTTGAAAGTGAAGGCCACAGCCGGGACAGGCGTTTCCTGAATTTGGGCTCATGATGCTCATGTAGAATCTAGCGTTCGACCGCTATTTGGGAAGAGGAACCCGCGCACCATGTTTTGGGAGGTTTGCCCATGTGGAATCAAGCCAATTTGTCAAGTCGGGTTCGGGTTGCTCGTAAAGGCTTTCTGGAGATGGGTCGCAGGGAATGGGCCCATTCGGCCACTTGTTTTCATTTCCCTTGAACGAACTTGTGCGACTTGAGCAGAGGGTGCATGATCTCAGACCTGATGGATCCTTTTTTGTTGGATCTCCCGATTCGGACTGGGGATTGTGTTCTGTAAGTCGCAGATAATGACGGTAAACTGCAAGAGTCAGCAGTAAATGCCAACTGGGAAATCATATTTTACCACCTTTGACTCCTTGAATAGAAGGCAACTGGGCAACTGGGGAAGGCATGTAATTTGCCACGAGTCACAGTTGGTTTGGTCCCGGTTTTGGCGGGTCCCCGAGGTTGCCATTGTAGTGGGAGCCCAAGTTGGATCCAGACTCGCGTCCAGGAGCATCACACAAAACATGTCCACATCCCCTTTGATGAGGCACTGGATGCGGTGGGCCGCAGGGGATATGGCTCTGTTGCCCTTGCGGATGAATATGGACCCCCCTCCAAAAAAAAGGAATCAACAAACAGAAGAGAAGAAGACAGCATTGATAGGATAATTGGTCTCCTTTGGGTGGGCCCCTTGTTGGATTCCATGAAATGTGCGAGGAAGTAGCTTGTTGAAATCATGCAGCGAACCCCAATTGAATTGAATGTGCAGTTGATTCATGTAGACTCCTCTTAGGTATGCGGACCTTCTCCACACACATCGGCAAACTGGAGCAGGGTTTATGCACAATGGTCACATGTATCACAGAATTTCGAGATGGACTATTGAATTCTCGTATAGTTTTAATTGGCCTTAGTTGATATTACGCATGCTAGACTCAAGCAGCACGCACCCAACACCGGGCGCGCACATGCTGTTGTATGGTTGCCTGAGGCTAGCCGGACCCATAAACGATTCTTTAGTGTCAATGACGGTGGCCAACAGGCCCTTATTTTTTGGAATAGTTGTATATATATATATATATGCTCAGCCCCCCCCCCCATGAACCACCTTTTGGGTGCTACCATATGTATGTATGTATGTATGTAATGTATGTATGTATGTATGTATGTATGTATGTATGTATGTATGTATGTATGTATGTATGTATGTATGTATGTATGTATGTATGTATGTATGTATGTATGTATGTATGTATGTATGTATGTATGTATGTATGTATGTATGTATGTATGTATGTATGTATGTATGTATGTATGTATGTATGTATGTATGTATGTATGTATGTATGTATGTAATGTAATGTAATGTAATGTAATGTAATGTAATGTAATGTAATGTAATGTAATGTAATGTAATGTAATGTAATGTAATGTAATGTAATGTAATGTAATGTAATGTGTAATGTAATGTAATGTAATGTGTAATGTAATGTAATGTAATGTAATGTAATGTAATGTAATGTAATGTAATGTATGTATGTAATGTAATGTAATGTAATGTAATGTAATGTAATGTAATGTAATGTAATGTAATGTAATGTAATGTAATGTAATGTAATGTAATGTAATGTAATAATGTAATGTAATGTAATGTAATGTAATGTAATGTAATGTAATGTAATGTAATGTAATGTAATGTAATGTAATGTAATGTAATGTATGTATGTATGTATGTATGTAATGTATGTATGTATGTATGTATGTATGTATGTATGTATGTATGTATGTATGTATGTATGTATGTAATGTATGTATGTAATGTATGTATGTAATGTATGTATGTATGTATGTATGTATGTATGTATGTATGTATGTATGTATGTATGTATGTATGTATGTATGTAATGTATGTATGTGTATGTATGTATGTATGTATGTATGTATGTATGTATGTATGTATGTATGTATGTATGTATGTATGTATGTATGTATGTATGTATGTATGTATGTATGTATGTATGTATGTATGTATGTATGTATGTATGTATGTATGTATGTATGTATGTATGTATGTATGTATGTATGTATGTATGTATGTATGTATGTATGTATGTATGTATGTATGTATGTATGTATGTATGTATGTATGTATGTATGTATGTATGTATGTATGTATGTATGTATGTATGTATGTATGTATGTATGTATGTATGTATGTATGTATGTATGTATGTATGTATGTATGTATGTATGTATGTATGTATGTATGTATGTATGTATGTATGTATGTATGTATGTATGTATGTATGTATGTATGTATGTATGTATGTATGTATGTAATGTATGTATATGTATGTATGTATGTATGTATGTATGTATGTATGTATGTATGTATGTATGTATGTATGTATGTATGTATGTATGTATGTATGCATGTATGTATGTATGTATGTATGTATGTATGTATGTATGTATGTATGTATGTATGTATGTATGTATGTATGTATGTATGTATGTATGTATGTATGTATGTAATGTGTGTATGTATGTATGTATGTATGTATGTATGTATGTATGTATGTATGTATGTATGTATGTATGTATGTATGTATGTATGTATGTATGTATGTATGTATGTATGTATGTATGTATGTATGTATGTATGTATGTATGTATGTATGTATGTATGTATGTATGTATGTATGTATGTATGTATGTATGTATGTATGTATGTATGTATGTATGTATGTATGTATGTATGTATGTATGTATGTATGTATGTATGTATGTATGTATGTATGTATGTATGTATGTATGTATGTATGTATGTATGTATGTATGTATGTATGTATGTATATATATGTATATCTACATGTATACACATATATATATATATATATATATGTGGGTCCTGGGCTTGTAGTGTGCTCCTCGTGGGCTAGACCACCCGGGGGCCTATGATAGCCTGCAACTATTTCAACCGCAAAATCAAAGTGCCAGGTCTTGTCATTGTTCATGCAGTTTGATCAGCATCGAGAACATCTCTTGGAGCACACTTCCAAACTCAATCAGTGCATGTTTTTGGAACCCCCTTCGGGCAGGTTGTGGGGGCCCCATGATTTGTCACTCTGAAATGGAGTCCCTTGGTATCACTCCCACACGCCTTGTCTCGTGGCAACCATGCCAGGGATTGCGAGCCCCTTCGTATCACAGAAAGTGACCCCAAACTAATTTTCCGCAATTATGGCCAATGACCGGGGGAGCCCACAACCCTTCGTTTTGTACAGCCGTTGGTTTGGAATTTTGAGGCCTGTTCAAAACGGGTTTGCTTGGACCGTGGTTTCTTTGGAGGGCCCTGCAATCAATAATTGGGCAGCGCCCAGGGAAGCCTGTCCAGCAATTAGGCAACGTCAAGTGGGTCAAAGTGTTGGATCCTAGTTGGCACCTTTGATCTGACGCTTGATGTCAAAGTGAGTGACATTACATACGTAGTTCTGAGGATATGCCGGCATGCCCCGCGTTGGATGTTGAGAAGGAGGTTTTATTTGCGAACTCCTTTTGTCCACCAGCAAGAAAGACATATCTCCCTTTTGCGAGTTTCACTCTGAAGCCACGGGGAAAGATGCCAAGCACTTCCAATTTCCACTATAGCGGGAAACCAGGGTTTCTTATGCAAAATGGTTTCCCCTGGAAGGGGAACCTCCCATTTTACCGATGCAACACCCGCGAGCGAGGGCGAGGCGCCGAAGCCGGCAGATACACCGCCCTCCTGCGCCAGAGTCACCTCAGACAAGGAGGCGGCCGAGTCGACCAATTCGACCGATTCAAACCTCCAGCGCTTCCAGCTACCACTGTATCATAGGTAACCAAGGGGAACCATGTAACATCAAAAGACCTGGGGTCAGAAACCCTGCTTGCGAACGCACATTTTGTTGATGGTATCTGGAACTGGGAGTGGTGCCGTTTTCCCGTGGCCATCTGGTTGGGCATTTGGCTTTGATACAACAAAGTGTGTTTGTGTTGAAGGTTGTTACGCTGTTTCCCCGAAGGTTTCTTAAAGCAAAAAAAAGCAAACCAAGACAGAAACAAGCAAGCAAGCAAACAATCAAGGTAGCAAACAAGCAATCGAACAGCAAACTGGTGGCGGCTGTAGCACCGTCCATGCACATTGAGGCACTAGTTTTTTTCAACCGAGGCGAAAACAACACCTACGGTATTTGGGCAAGTGAGAGCTGATTACGGCTGGGACAGTCGCAGCCATAAAGGTGCAGTGGCGCCTTTCCAGCTCCTATCAGTTTTTGTTTGTTGGCTCGTTTGATACCTGGCTTGATTGCGTTGTTACTTCCAGTGCTCCGTCCGTTGCAAGGCCAAGGAATGCGGAGAAACCTTTCGCCTCAACAGCAGAGTGGCCACGGTTCGGTTCGGTTCGGTTTCCAGAAACCTAACCTGTTTAATTACGGCTCGGTTCGGTTTCTCATCTGAAATCGGTTCGGTTCGGTTCGGTTACTATGGTATTTTTTCGGTTCACGGATGATTGCACTGTGCCACTTCCAGCCGCGCGCCACACTCTTAGCCTCGGCGTGCCAGCCTCCTGTCTCTATCACAAGGCACTCATTAACACTTTCAGCACCACCTCCATCCCCAACTCCACTTTCACAGCCTCACCTCCAGCCTGCCTGCAGCCTCACCAGCCTCGCCTCCAGCCTCACCTCCAGCCTCATTTTCAGCCTCACCTCCAGCCTGCCTGCAGCCTCTCCACCCCCAGCTGCACCTCTCCCCTTCAACCTCACCAGCCTCACTTCCAGCCTTACAACCTCCTCCAGCCAGCCTGCTGCTTGCAGCACCTTCACCTCCAGCCTCACCTCCAGCCTCACCTCCAGCCTCGCCTGCCTTCCCAGCCTGACCTGCCTTCACCTCCAGCCTCACGTCCCCCTCTTCAGCCTCACCAGCATCACATCACCTTCGCTTTCACCTCCAGCCCCACCACCTTCACCTCCAGCCCCACCACCTTCACCTCCAGCCTCACCTGCCTCCCCTTCAGCCTCACCAGCATCCCCTCCAACCTCACCTCCAGCCTCACCAGCCTCACCTCCAGCTTCACCTTCAGCTCCACCTCCACTCTCACGACCTTCACCTCCAGCCAGCCGTCTGCCCAGCCTCACTTCCAGCCTCACCTCACCAGCCACCTTCACTTTCCAGCCCTCCAGCCTCACCTGCCTCCCCTTCAGCCTCACCAGCATCCCCTCCAGCCTCACCTCCAGCTTCACCTTCAGCTCCACCACCACTCTCACGACCCAGCCGTCTGCAGCCTCGCCAGCCTCACTTCCAGCCTCACCAGCCTCACCTCCAGCCTCATCTCCAGCCTCAGCTCCAGCCTCACTTCCAGCCTCATCTCCAGCCTCACTTCCAGCCTCACCGATTACCTTTAGCCTGCCTCCAGCCTCACCAGCCTCACCTCGAGCCTTTCCAGCCCGACCCACCACTTCACCGCCACCGTCAGTTAGCAGCCATACGCCCAGCTTCACCTCCAGTCTCATCAGCTCAGTCCCGCCAGCAGATACCTTCCCCCAATATGTTGGTTGAGCAAGGGCAAGGGCCTTGAGGTCGCTTTTGGTGGGATGTCTTTTGGTGGCAATGCATCACAGCCTGCCCTGGGCTGCTGAAGTTTAGTTTTGTTTAGCAACCTGGGAGATTGCTTGTACTTGGGCCTACTCCAGAGGGACCACTTATGTCTTTAGACCCTGTCCAGCTAAATGACTGGCTCTCTGGTCAGCATGGCTATGTAAGAGCAAATTGTTAGCATTTTGGCTGAAGTTGCATTCTTGTCTGAGGGAGCCTTGTCTGGCTGCTCGCCAAGCTCTAAACCTAACGATTCGGTTGTTTTCCTCTGGACGGTTCGGTTCGGTTCGGCTTGTGAAAACAACAGTTCGCAGACGGTTCGGTTCGTACGGTTCGGTTCCACGGTTCGGTTCTCGGTTCGATTCCTGGGTTCCCTGCAACAGCACCAGTTGCCCTGTGATTGATTTAGCTTGGGTTGTGTAGAGCCCGAACGACTTCAGCTATCAAGTGGAGGTGTGCAAGAAACTGACACTGTTTTTTTGGCACGAACATGGCGCCAACATGTGCAAGCAACGTTTGCCAAGAGAAATTCGGGTGGGTTGTTTCTGTTGATGCTCTCTTTCGTATTCCAGCTGTTTGTTGACCATTCGTTGAGTTTCCTCCCCTTTTTGTTCTTCCCCTCGTTGTTTTCCTCTTGTCATAGTTATTCCTTTGTTTCGTTTTGTAGTTGCATAATGTTGTCGTTGTTGTCCTCGTTGTTTTGTTGTCCATATTGTGTGGTTGCGCTTGTGTGGCATGACACCTTGGGCACACCCTTTGCGACCTCCAGCGCTCCGCTTTCGAAATCGCAGATCAGCCCGACTAGCCACCAGAAGAGCTATTTCGGCCTCTTGGCGTGAGACGATTTGAAGTGAAAGCATTGCCAGACGAAAGGCTCACCTTTTTAACGCGCTGGCTTGTTTATGTTCCATGATTTTGCTTCATTGCTCATCCCTGTCAAGCGGCAAGTACACTTGTGGCCTTTGGGTCCAAGCCGGCCCGGGAATCCTGAAACTCAGGCCCTAGCAAGCTGACAGGAGCTTGGCTGTCAGCTCTGTTTAGGACAGATGGCCCCTTCTCACAGGTTCCAGCCTACCTTCCCTGTCCCCATCTTCTTCATCTTTGATCCTTTCGGAATCCGAAAAGGGCCGCGGAGCAGGGAAACCAGACGCCCGCCGCAAAACCGGTGCGGGAGCGCGTCAAATCGGCTCTGAAGCTACCCCCCCCTCCTGACGGTTTGGGGGCCATGACGCATTGGTAGGGACCAAAAGAGGGTTGTCCCTGAATGGGGAAGTTGCCTAAAATTTAAGCGGAGTATTTGTCCCGTCTGTTTTCCTGTTCAAACAAGCTAAGCAAGGGCCCCAACTCAACAAAGACACAGGGGCACTTGGCTAAATCAAACCCTGACAATTGAAGGGCAGAAAGCACACACGGGCACTTGGCTAAATCCAACCCTGACAATTGAAGGGCCAGAGATAAAAGCGGGCTTTGAGCCCAAATGTAGTTCCCTTTTGTTTTCCGAACATGGGACGAAGCAGGCAGGCCAAACATGTCTGGTTCGAGCAAACATCATGGAGGACCCCGCAACTGTCTAGGGTAACTTTCGCAGTCTGTCCAGTCGCCCTTACTACCAGAAAATCTCGCAAGATCGATGGCTGAACACAATGGGAAGCACCCCCTAGAACATGGCAACAAGTTCCTGACACTGACCAGCTCGTTCTCACTGAACAATATTCACCCCTTTTGGCATGGGTTGCTCATCACCACTTCTAGACTTCTTGTGTTGCTCCCCTCCAAGGAGGAGAAGGCTCTGTGTTGGCTCGTTTGCCAAACTTTGACCGCCGCCTTTGGTTCCCTCAGGGAGCCTTCAAGTTGTTCTTCTCCAAACAGCAAGTCTTCAAGGCCCTTGTGAACCAGACGAGCGGTGACTGAGTCTGGTCATGCTGATGAGACTCAACAAAATGATCGGTTTTTGGTTTGAGTAAAGCTTCATCTCCAACCAATTGAATTGCCCGAACAAAGGTAGACAATGTGTCAGATTTCCTTGAATTTGAATTTGCAAGTGCCATGCAGAACCCCCCGAAGTGTCAGAAAGGTGGCCCCTCTGGACTCCGCTACCCTCCCACTTGACATGGAACCAGAGAAATGATCCGTGAGGGAAGTGATCTTTCAGGACCCCTTTCTTCAGTTTCTGTGGCAACGGGCGGGTAACTTGTGGAGGAGTCGCGTTGCATGGCAAGCCCGTCAGCCCCAAAGCGCTCGAAACAAATCGGCCAAGGCTCTTGGACCCGCGGGGATTGGCTCTCCTTCGCTTCGCAGCACTCGGATGGCACCAACGGGGCCGCCTTCCCGGATGTGAACTGGCAGTGGGAGCACAAGACAGGCCCCACGGCGCATGGGGCGGTTTCACGTGTGAAAATCGATACCCCAAACCTGGTGGTTGTTGTCAGGTTGTTGTTTTGGTGTCCCTTGTAATTCCCGTTGTTGATCAAGATGAAAAGGGTACGGAGGCGTGCCTCGTGTTGAGGGTACGCATCAGGAAGAAACCAAAGAAACCCACTATGTTGCGTCACCCCCATTTTGAGTCAAACCCACGTATTCTTTCCGTGAGATTTTCACTTGCCAAGTTTCTGTGGTTTCTTGTACGCCCTGTATTCCAACACACACGCACGAGATGGTGTTGGAGTTTGCACTTTCTGAAAGTACCATTTTGATTGTAACACACAGATTGAACTTCTTTCGGCCAACTCACTCAGGAGACGAGAAATGGATAGGGCGCGGAATGGCGCAGAAAAAAGGAATTTGCCCAAAAGGGCACAAAGGGCACGGATAATTGAACCAGCTACGGGAGGTTCTGCCGGAAATGCCGGTTTTGGTTACTAGGGACATGTACTGTAGCATGTCCTGTACCTTTCTCTGAATCCATCCAAGGCTGGCGGGACTACACCAAGAAGGTCAGCACTAAGATCGAGATCGCGTGGCGCAGCGGCGAGACCAAGGTCCGGGTGCAAACCGGCAAGCGCGGGCCCAAGAGCTGCAAGGGATTGGTGCGGTTCGGGGGGTGGACCTTGTTCCCTGTTTTTGGGATGGGTCCCTTCGAAAAACCATCTTCTCGGGTTTGCGTTCCATGATTTTGGCGGGGGACGAGAATAAACGACATGGAGCAGTTGTTTGCCCACCACTGGAGGCCAACCTGGCACCTGACAGGGGATCCCTATAAGCGAAGTTGATCTGCCAGGTAGCCTCCCATGGACGCTGTAGTCGTGGGAGGAAGCGCATGTTATAGACTGCTCATTTTGAGCGCTCGCGGTTGCCAAAGGTACTCAGTCGCTCCACGGCAGCCATTGTTTTTATTTGGCAGCTTTCTTAAACCCTGAGGCCTCCACAAAAGCACAAGCATGGGTGCTTGAAGCTTCCTGAGGACGACTCTGTTTGCCATGCCTTAACAGAGGCCCGAAGTATGGTTGTGGCTGAAATGGCTGGACTGGACACTCTGGCTGGAGGCCCACTTTCTGTGATATTCACGTTCAAGCAGTCATGGGGATGCCCACTTTGGCACAGCAGAAAGGATGGTGAATAGGGAACTGGCTCAAGAGTAGTTGGTGAATCCTGTCTACCAAAGGATGTCCTATCTGAACTTCATACCCAAGTCAGGCTTGAACTCTCAACTTACGAGTTCCCTTAGTGATATGGGGGTTGGGGCCAGTTCCGTGCAAATCCCAGGGCTTGATCTTAAGAGCTTCGCGGTGGAGCTCAAGGTTTGGGACTTCCTCCCCGCACTAACGAGCCGCAATCCACGTGGACCAACATATGAGGGTCCTAAAAGGAAGTGGGGGTGGCGTTGCTTGCCAATCCTTTTCCGCGCCAGGAAAGGCGCGGTGCCGATGGAGATCTTTTTCGAAGACGCTTTGCTCAACTCTGAACAGGTTTTAATGACTATCTCCCCGTGTGGTGGTTTTAAACATGAACTTTCCGGGTGCCAGTTTTTCATGAGTGTCCTTTTAGGGTGATGTTTACAGTGGAAACATGAGGAACCCTGCTGACCAGCAGCTCTTTGGTGGTGGGCACTAAAGTGCTTATATTGATTTGGATTCCCCACAATGATACCGTAAGGATACCAACAGGGGTTTTCCGGACCCCGCGTGTTTAGAACTCCGTTTCTCAAGCTGCTTTGCGACCAGGGTCTGTTGCACAATTTGTGTGCCAGACAAGTTCAAACAACAACCCTGCCCGGGGGCCCTGGACCACCGCCCCTCCAAGACTGTGGTTCGGAGATTAAAAGCCTTACGAGGGCAGAAGGGCCGAAGTAGCCTATACAGCAAGGCCTTTTGAGGAGGTTTCCTGCACGTGGAGATTCATGCGCTCTAGACAGAGGCCCCTCAGAACGGCTGAAAGAAGACATGGACGAGTACTCGCTGAGTTGTGCTCCTGAAAATGAGCAAACAAAGCGCAAAACATAGCATTTGTAGAAGCGCCCCCCTGTTGGGGAATCTCTCTAGGGTGGGAGGCAAATTGTGCAGTATTTGCTTCCGTTCCGCATCTCGAATCAAGCGGTATGAGGGCGAATCTACATGCCATGCGTTACCTCCCGATTGCGCTTCGACCCACAACGCCTTAATGCGGTTTCATCCAAAATGCCGCACCGTGCCCCATGTCTGCTTGTGAAGATACCTTTCCCAACGCTGATCGTTGAACCCTTGGGCTCGTAGGTTTGGTCTGCATCGTTGTCCAAAGACTCGAATGTTTGTCCCATATGTTGTTTGTCACATCTTCAGGCCGCTGTTTTTGTCCATTTGCTGAGGACATGCTGCAACATGACCCCGTCACTGGGAACACCCGAAATGTGCAGAGAGCTGGCCCTTGGAGCAAGTGACGCTTGGCGAGCATTCGATAAGCATGGTAAGGCCGGCTTTGACAGTCCATTATTTGTGTGTTTGTGTCGTTCTTACTGTATTGGTTGAGTTAGTGATTGTTTCTTTTGGTATTTATGTCTTACTTTAACCATGTTCTTCTGTTTTGTCGTGTTTTCTTCTATATCCTTCTGTCCGCCTTTCTACACGAGAGCACATGCAGAGCAAGTAGCTCGAGAGCACGCGAGCAGAGAGAAAGCACGCAGCCAGTTGCGCCAAAGCACATGCGCAGCAAATTGCACGCGAGAACGTGCACAGCAAGTTGCGCAAGCGAACTGGCACGAGAAAGCTCGCGCCAGACATCTTGCACGAGACCCACGTGGAAAAGAAGTTAAAGTTTATCCTTGCGGCGGCGCGGAGGGCTGCGGGGATCGGCATGGTCCAGATACAAAAGCTCAGGGCTCTTGCTACTTCTTTTTGTTGCACACTCAGCCTCTGCGGGAACGGCGTGGTCGATCTGCAAAAACTGAGGACTTTGCAACGTTTTGCGACCCTCGTCGGCAACGCTGCTCCACATCGCAATCCTTCAGAACATATGCAGCACATGAACCGCGCTCGCGCAGTTCCAGCTTAGATTAATCAGTAGCAACTTCGCGACACAAAGGCAGTTTGCGAAATGCACCCCTGCAGCTCCAGCTCGAGAAGCACAGCTTGTGTAACACACACACACACAGAACAGCACGCGAAGCGAGCTCCTCAGCTTTTGCTCAATCAGACGAAGTGCGTGAAGCTTGCTCCCACAGCTTCAGCCTAGCAATCGCGTCGTTTAATTTCCCAAGTATGTGAAGTGCGCTCCCGCAACTCTAGTGCGAAGGTCGCAGCTTTCGCAGCACGCATGAGTACGCGAGGAAAACTCCTGCAGCTCAACTGAGCAGCGCCATAAACCCTGACAATACAAAGTAGTAAAGGGGGGGTGTCCTATAGAATCCCCGCGAAAGCCAAAACGCAGGCCGCGAAAGCTGGCGAAAGCTTATGGCGAAAGTAATCAAAGAAGGTCCCGCCGCGAAAGACCCGCGAAAGCCTGCATGCTGTGTGACAGTCCGCCGCGAAAGCGTCGCGAAAGCAATTCTAAAGGAAACAAAGCCCGCGAAAGCAAAACATGGGGTCGCGAAAGCATCGCGAACGGGTCCGCGAAAGCAAGTTCATAGGACCGTTTTTTACACAAGAGTATTTGGCACGGCTCAACTGGAAGTTGCAATTTTGCAAGTATGGAAGTGGCCGCAAAGTACGCTGTTGCAGCTACAACTCGAAACATCGCAACACTGAAGATCTGAAGCATCATCGCAGACGAACATACGTAAAGACGTGCACAGCAAAGCTGGCGCGCCGTGCATTTGACATCGCATGCCGCGTTTGCTATTATATATTGCTATACTTCCGGGCCACCCCTTCTTCCAGTTGTCTTATTTTGCGTTTTGTGTCTTTCTGTCTTTCTTGCCTTATGCCGAATTCGGACTTGCGAAGCTGCAGGGTTCTGTGGTACAAGAGTCGGGCAACATGGGGAGGGGCCCATCTCTTCCATGTTGCTGCTTGTGAAAGAGGCTTTCTATACGCATAAACGCGAGCCCACTTCGGGTTTCTCAATAGGCAAGGGTAAGTACCACGTTGCGCTACCCTGAATGAACCAAGGACGGGCTTGAATTGTTTGAGCAGTTCAGGGAACGGTAGCAAGGGCTTGTTTAAAGGCCACCGGATTGCTGAGCTGAGTCTCCTGCAATCCAAGGGCAGGGAGCGAAGCGCTTCGTGGGCGGCGTCGGGAGGCCGGGGTTTTGGGCTCTGCAGGGGGGCGCACTAGGGGCAGGGTACTTCTTGGGTTATTGTTTTGACTGCTTCTTGGGGGTAATCGAAATCAGCAACTGGGGTTGTCCTGCAAACCCAACAATTGGGGGATGACTTTGATCATGCTGGTTGCAGCCCACCTAGCATAGTTGCGAGGCCATAGTAGGGTATAACTCCAGGATGAGCTAAGAACCCGCCCTCCATTTTGTGCGAAGATTGCGTTGCGAAAGCCAAGAGTTCGGACTTCCTTGGCACCTGGGAAGTGAGCTTCGCTCCGGCACACATGGCACATTGGGGGTGTGTCGCTTCGCTGGCTGTTCTTAATGCTTTTCTACATGCAGTCTACGAATTGAAGCCTGAAGTAGCGAAGGTGTTGGGATTTCTGGTTTGTCACCCCTTGATGATAAATGATACTTGGTTGTAAGCAAACCGTGCCGTCCAATCCCATGGAGCAGTTTGGGAATTTCAAAGAGGTCAGCAACAATGAAACCTGTAACTTATAGTATCGCAAGTTGGCCGCTGGCGATGAGCTGTGGCAATTGCATCTTTCTGATTTCTCAGGGAGTTGTTGGAGACAGCAACCCACCCAAAGGCACCAAAAATGCCAATCTGCTTGCCCAGGGCGCTGGAGACTGGAAAGCGCCGGAAGGAGTGACCTGGGTGGGGGCAAACCCCCTCCAAGTTTTGTCGGGTTTCGATGGAACAAAGGAACGTTGTTTTGCGTGTGTCCATGATTCTTACGATTGCCCTCAAGCGCACCAAGTGCAAAAGAGGATGCACGCTTTCTTCCAATTGCCATGTTGCTGTGGCAACTGACTCGACTGGATATGTTATCCGCTGATACAAGCTCGCTCGCTTGTGCAACGCATGAGATCTGTGGCTTACCTTGCCAATATGACAGTAATTACCTCCGGTACTTTGTGGGTTTGTCGTGATTCGTGGATTTGGTATCCTTCTTTAGGATTGGCTTGAAACGAAACCAAGAAGAAGCCAGTTTTTGTTTTGAACGGACCAGCTGGTTTCAAGAGCACGAAAGGAGCGCTTTGCCGACTACCAGAAGCGTCGTGAGCAGCACCATCAAGAGATTGAGGCTCCGGGGATCCGGGCGGGTCGATCCAGTCAGAGCTTCGGTTGGTTCCCAAAACACGAACAGAGGGTGAGTCCCTATCAGACCGCTTTGTTATTCTCGGATACATTAGGGGCTTCGAATCTAGGGCCTTCCACCTAAACTGATCTGACTCCTGTCGGAAAATAATCAAGCAATATGTATGATCCTCCAGATTAACCCAAGGTGCAGTAAGCTTTTTTGAGTCCAACCCTGGGCTGTTGAACTGCGGGATTCATTGGGGGCAAGTTATGCGGGGGTTCCTGTTGCTTATCATCGCCCCTTTGCTACCCCTTCATCCCATCTGATTCTCCACACGTGTTGGTATAAAGGCTCAATAATTTTGTCTATTTTTTCCAGGAGGTTTAAGCAAATGCAGGAACCTGAAAGAGGCAGACGTTTAATCGCAAGTTGTACCAAGCGCCAAGTGGCTTCGCACTCCTCGGTCGGTCGCAGGTCCCGGAGGAAGTGCTTCACGGCACGGGGTGCTGCGCTGCCATGGCAACCAGCCCGGTGTTCTTCAGCTGCCGGGGGGCCCGATCTGTCGAACCTCTGCCCAAAGCGAAGCTATCGGATCCGAGCTGTTGGTTTTCGGTTGGCTCACCTTAAGTCTACTAGGAAAGGACCCCAAGCAAAGGTTAATCTTTTATTTTAGGCCCATCTTTTGTAAAGATCCCAACAGGTTAACCATGAAATTGTCTGGTTCTTTGGGCAAGTAAGACAACGATTCAGTTTAGGGTTCACTGAGTTTGGAAGACAGATTTGGCCGGCAGCTGTGGTAGACATTTCTGGTTTGGGGCAGGAAGTCCATGAGAGGGGTGTGATCAAACCTGGGACTCTTTAAAATACCACTGGCGGGCAGTCGGGACAGAGGGACATCAGTGGCTCAACGGGTTTCAGCGGTGAAGCTGCTCCAGTTGTTTGTTTTGTTTGTTTGCTTGCTTGGGTTGTTTCATGCTAGTGCAATGGCACGCTGTGACAGCACCCCAAGCTGGGAAGTGCCTGTTGGGCTCCTTGCGCACTTCGCCGGTTGATCAGGGGTTACCGGCAAATTAAATGCATCTCGCTGCGTCGCTTAGTGACTCGATGCTCGAAACAATGAAACAAGGTTGGTTGTTTGTTTCTTTTTTTGATTTGTTTTTGTTCATTTGCTTCATTTTGTTTGGGGGGGGTGCAACGTACATCACTCCCAGCAACAGAAAGGGATGCCATAGAGTCTGGTGTGCCCAGGCATTGGGACCAACGACTCAACCACCCAAGCATTTAACCACCCAATTACTGAATCGCTTACCTCCCACCCATCACCAGCTATACCTGCCACTTGCCGCTTGTGCTCGCTGAGAGTGCCAGGTTCGAGCTTGATGGTCATTCTCTACACCGTTTGGCTTGGCGTCGACGCAGCACCTCAAATCTGACCAGCTGGCTGTCAGTTCTGTTTTTGCCTATGGTTATCAAGGAACTGTCGGGGGCCTTCCCAATCCCCAAAATCTCAAGAGGAGGGCCGTTTTACTCTGCAGATGACCGTGGAACCCGCAAACCCATGGTTCTTGTTTACGTGTTTTTTGGCGGAACCATGTTTTTGTGTTAATTCTTGAGCTATGGGGGAGTAAGAAAGGGTCGAAAAGACTTGATGATGGAACGAATCGGAGGCTTTGCACCCGGGGCACATCAGAATGTTTCGCAACAGTCTCCCCGGGCGGTTCCTGGATGTTGGGCAGGGGTGATGTGTATATATATATATATATACATATATATATATATGTATATATATGTATATATATATATATATGTGTGTGTGTCCGTGTGTCCGTGTGTCTGTGTGTCTGTGTGTCTGTGTGTCTGTGCGTCTGTGTGTGTTGTGTGTTTGTGCCTATTTGTGTTTTGTTTATTTGTTTGTTTGCTTGTTTGTGTGTTTGTTTGTGTTTTTGTTTGTTTGGTTGTTTGTTTGGTTGTTTGCTTGTTTGTTTGTTTGTTTGTTTGTTTTTTTGATTGTTTGTTTGTGTGTTTGTTTTGCTGTTTCTTTTGGTTGGTTGGTTGGTTGGTTGGTTGGTTGGTTGGTTGGTTGGTTGGTTGGTTGGTTGGTTGGTTGGTTGGTTGGTTGGTTGGTTGGTTGTTTGTGTGATGCTGCCATGGTCACCTGTCGAGGTGGCAAACTTGTTGTTTGTTTGTTGTTTGTGGGTTTGTTACCAAAAGCAACAATGGGGTTGACAAATACAATGATGTTTGTACATTGGAAACGAGTTATTTGTGTTGTTGTCACACTTTTGCTTCTTAGTGATGGTAAAGGCCTCACTAGCTTAACTTTTTTTGGCCAGTCAACATGTCAGCATGCCATTTTTGGAGTTGCCCTTTCGGGGATATATCTTTAGTATGAACGAACACAAGGGGAGTCTCCAGCTTTGGAAGGTCTAATTCGACTTCATCTCTGGGTTCTGGGTTGGTTACGCATGGCTTCACTTGTCCCGAGTTGGCAACTGGGTGTGTCCTTTTAGAGGGTTCCCCTTTGGTTGGTTTCAACGGGAAACCAAGAGGAAAACCACCACTTGGGGTTCCCTAAAACAAGACACCCAACTCGTGCTGGTCCCGATGTACAAGAATAGAGCTTAACGGATTCTTGGGAAGGGTGCCCTCAGAGGACTCACGCACCGCCCAGGACTTCAACGATGCTCCCACGCTGACCTCTGCGGAGCCAATTTTCCAAATCGTGGAGAATGTTTTTTGCGCCGCTGGGCAACAAACATGCGAACCGCAAGTTTTGTTGCCGAGTTTGGGTTTGTTTCTTTGTGTTGCATGGCAAGCTATGTGTAGACATTGACACGCATATTGTTATGTCTATATGTTCATGATGTGTATTGCTTTCCGAGTACACCCTGCACAAAGCTTTAGAATCTCTGCAAGATGTCCAAATCTGTTTGCTTGACATCGCCAAGACTTGGAGAGAGATCAGTGTCACTGTTTCTCGGACGGAGCACGTCATCCAGCGATTTGGCACAGGGTCAAAGCTAGGCGAGGCTTCATTGCAAACATGAGAAATTGACGAACATGGAGTCATGGAGTGCCCATCAGTTGTGACACCCGAATTGATTTAGGGGAAGCTTGTCCTTTGAAGAATGCCTTGGATTCAAGCATGGCCGAAAGCCGCGCGCGTTGCGCGGAGGGGTCTCCCTATGTTGCCCTTGGACATTACCTTGTGGGCCAATGTAAAAGAAGTTCCCTTAGGTGTTGTGATGTTTGAAGATAAATGTAGCAGGTAACCTTTTTTCCCGACCCCGTTCGACCCCCGAATCGTTGTTTTGTGTGGGACTCGTAAACCAAAATCATCCCCCAAGTGTTTGATTGATTATTGTCAGACAATTTTGGGGTTGGATTCTCGACATAGCGGCCCCTTGCTCGGTAGTTTCAAAGGGGAACCAGAAGGAAAGGAGCCATTCTTGGGGTTCCCTGCTGTGGATGGACGCAATCCTGCCCACCTAAGAAGCTCTGCAATGATGATTCCCCTGTAAATACCAGCAAACCATGGTTTCCCATGGTTTCAAAGTGGTGCAGGATTTCGTCCATCCACAGTATGTTGAGAACCACCCAACAAAAAGGGTTCAATCCCAAGAAGCCCCGTGAGGTGTTTTTCACCTTGGAGCTCCTGATCCGGTTCTGTGCCTTCTCACGGCGTAAGAACTGCATGAAGGACGCCTGGTTCATCTTCGACTCAGCGGGGCAACTCAGATAGCCTCGATGCCAGGGTCCTATGCCTGGCAGGCTCCAGCCAGGTCTTCTTGGGTTCTCAAAGGTGTTGTTTGATTTTCCTGGATAGCCATGGTAACTGGAATCACTGGGACTGTAAGGTACGTGGCAAGAATGGGAGACCCCTCAAATTGTGGTTGTCCTTTGGCTTCCCTTTAAACCAACCTGAAAAGGGCTACCCTCAAAAGCAAGAGCACCCTTCCCGCAGTTGTCCACCACTCTGGTAGGTTCCACGATCATTGGGCTAATGGGACATCACCGCGGAAGCAAGCTTAGATTGGCAACATCAAGGTCCTTTTGCCCACTGCAACGACCACCCTGTAATGTCAACTTCAGATTTATCAAAGGCAGGATGAAACGGTTTGTCTCCACGTGATGTATTGTGCAGAAACTAACATGGGGTGTTTGTTTGTGACTTTTCTGTAAAACAGCAGACACCCTCAACAACGTCACCCCCTGCCGTCATGTATAAATAGCTCTTTGTCGCCTTGGTTGTTGGAGTGGAGATGTTTAGTCAATAATACGCTTTTTGAGGTTGTTTGAAGCCAAGGAACCCCCCCCAGCTTCAGGGGTTCCACGGCCTATTTGGAAAACCAACCTCCCTCCCCCAAAAAAAAGAGAAAAGAAGCGCTAACAACAAAAGCAATACAACAACGATGTTTTGCACCATTTTCAAGGTTACCGTGATTTCAAGTGCCACCAAAGGTAAACTCCCCCCTTTTTGGGCTTCACGTTTTTCAGCCAGACACCACCCTCCCACAAATCCACATCTCCGGCGCATTCCGGCGCTTAGAGCCTGGCAGCGCTGATGATCGGGGAGGTTTGGATTCTGCCGATCATCTTTGCCTTTGCGCCGGAACTCAGCTCCTTGGACTGGCTTCATGCATTATGTCTTTGAGGCTCAGTGCCCCTTTTAGGGGAAACAAACAGAAAACAACAACATATTGGGGGTTCCTCTATTTTGACACGCACGCACGCACAAACAGGGATATATATATATATATGTGTAATTTACATATATAATGTGTATACATGCATACATATATATATATATATATATGCAACCCCCCTCCAAAACCCAGGTTTTGAACCTGGACAATTGCCAAAATCACTGGAAACATGATACTTTTGAGAAACATGTGATTTTCGCCTCTGCGCAACGCATATTTTTCAAGTTCAATCAGTAAATGTTGGCAAGTTCAATTAATTAGTCAAACAAACAGTCGGAAAGTCAGCTAATTAGTCCAGTTAAATAGTTGTAATGAATTAGCTCTAAAGCCAGTTAGCTAGTTAATTGGCTAATCGGTTAGTTATCTATTTAGCTGCCTAGTGTTAGATAATACTGAAGGTATTCCCCTAATATTCCCCTTCCGTTACTGGTGATTTTTTTGGGGAACACTAGGGGGTAGTGAGGAAACACTAGGGGTATACCAAGAGAATACTAAAGGAGTACTAGGGCAATACTAGGGGATACTAGGGCAATACTAAGGAAATACTCAGGGAATACTAGGGCAATATTAAAGGTGAACACTAGGAGAATACTAGTGGATTTCTGAGGGAATACTAGGGGTATACCAAGATAGTATTTAAGGAGTATTAGGGCAATACTGAAGGTATTCCCCTAGTATTCCCCTGCCCTTACTAGGAAGTACTCGGGGCATACCAAGAGAATACTAAAGGAATACTAGGGCAACACTAGGGAAATACTCAAGGAAGACTAGGGGAATACTAAATGAGCATACTAGGAGAATGCTAGGGGAATGTGAGGGAATACGAGGGGTATACTCTCAAGCTCAATTTGTCTGACCTCTCAGGCTTCCTGGATAGGGCACTAGGGCAATACTAGAAAAATACATAAAAATACTAGGGGAGTAATAAAGGTGAATACTAGGGGAAAACTGGAGAAAAAAAAACAGAAAGAAAAACCACAAAAACTGAAATTCTTGAAAAAACTGAACAACCAAGGATTCAGGGGGACATGCCTGGGGGGGCTCCATTTCCACCTGAATCCTTGGTTTTTCAGATTGTTGTGTTTCAGTTGTTTTTTTGTTCTGTATTTTTTTCAGTTTCCAACGTGCTTCCTTGAAGAGATGCCCTTACGCAATCATAGTGCTTGGTTGCAGCATTGGCTGCCAAATCAGAGGCTTTTGACAGATGCAGACAGTGGGCCTGAAAAGTGTGTGTTCTGGCAGATGCAGGTTTTGGTGACAAAGCACTGTAAATACCACTGCTTTCGTTCAAAACCTTTTTTTCAGGGGGGGTCCATATAATGTGTATACATACATACATACATACATACATACATACATACATACATACATACATACATACATACATACATACATACATACATACATACATACATACACACACATACATACATATATATATACATATATATATATATATACAATTACCGTCTGCCAAGTTGTGGCTTTCAATACTTTTTTTTGAAGCGAAAACCTATTTCATGTCGATCCTTTGCCTGGGGATCCCTGAATTCAGGTTTCGAACTTGCAGAGTTTGCCGATGATTTCCTCTCGTCAAATTCAAGCTCCAAGTTGCAGGTCAACCCTGCTAGTTTCAATGTACAGAAACAGTCCTAAAGTAAGGATGCTGGTTGGATCATCCGAATCGTGCTTTTGAGCATCATTCTAGCTGGGCACCATGGCAAGCAATAATGTAGATTCTAGAGATGAAAATATCCCGTTACACTATTTGCTAGTAGTTGAAAGCGCTGGAGAAGAAGCGCTAGTTTGACCAAAAGCAGACGGCCCGGACTTGTCAAGCTGCTGGGTTTATCCATCAGGGGTTGATATCTCCTGCAACACGGCATTTGTGGGAGGGAACATTGAAGAAACAAATGCATCCTGAAGGGACCCCGTTTCATGTGCCATGCGTTTCCGTGGAACGGATGGTATCAAGAGTCTTTGCGGAGTTACCCGGTCGATGCAGAAAAGGAAGCCTCCAGGAAATCCCTGTTGAGGCAGAATCAATTGACAATTGAAAACATTCTATGGTTTCAATCAACAGTCAGAGAATGCAAGTTTGATGTCAGTTTCCCTTCCTTTTCCTGAAGAAAAGGCCCGTGATTCATGCGGAATCCACGTTCAAGGAGGTTTCGTGAAAGATGCGAATGACACTTCCAGCCATTCCATGCAAGAACCAAAAAGTGGCCAGTACAGGCGGGTTCCCACGCTCACAACGACTCGGCAAGGATGTTCCACGCTGGCGAGCAAGGAAAGTCAGAGAAGTGTGTGCTGTTTGCAGGGTCCCATTTTTGGGCGTTTTGGGGCAGATATAAGGGACCCAGGTTGATTGGGGGATTTCGTCCATTGCGACCGACTGTACAGAATTCGCGCCGCGCGATTCGAGGCCATCAGATACAGGGCTTCACGGTGCTGAGATCGCCGGGGCACTCGGCTCCGAAAGGAGGATGCCCTGGTACCCTGAAGATGGCTTTGGAGCGGGGCTAGGTCCCCCAGTGCCCTTTTACCATTTGCCGCTACTAAAACAGACTACGGAAAAAAAAGGGTACCCTTATTCTAACCTCTCTACTGGAGGACCTAGGGGGTTACCAGGGGGCAGACAGACGACCTCCTCAAAAGGTACTTGATCCTCAGGGCCTTGGGACGTCTCGTTTTGGGGCCTTTCTGCAAGATCTCGACTCCCAAGAAAGACAATGTGTCGGTTGAACAAGTTCCTGAACAAATCTGACAAGCTGTGTGTTGGATGATGTTGGATGTTTTGTTATGTTGGCTTCTTAGTTCTTTGTCCACAGGCAGCCGTTGGAACCCAACTAGAATTCCTTTGGCTAAATGTATGCCTCCATAGAATGAGTTAGAATGAACCAAAAGTTGCCGATTTTCCAGAATCTGGTAAACAACTAAATGGTTGTTTACCCATGATCAGGTTGTATCTTCCCATATTGTTCCATTTTGTTGGGTGTTCTGTTTGGCTCCCTTCTCCGCCATTTTTTCGGGGAAATTGGTGGGCTGCCCCTGGCGCCTGAGGCTGCGGCTGGCACGGCTGGCGCGGCTCACGAGTTTGCTGCGGGCCTTCCCCGAGGCGATGATGCTGCTGAAAGGCCCGGGGATCGGAGCGCAAGCGTCACAGGGCCCAACCGATTCCTATTGGCCATCATGCCCTTCTTGGCAGATATTTATGTCTTTATTCACCATCTCCCTCATCTAGACTTATTGGCCATTTCGGTAGGTTCTATCGGATTCTGTCATTTGCCATCATAGCCCTCTAGATAATTCCTAAATATGCAAGTGCGGACATACGAGTTTCACAGATGCGCTCCTTTCCTCTCTATTGTTGTGCTGTAGGGAGTGGCCTTCACCCACCTCGCTTTCGGAGCAATCATTTGGTGGGGAAGAAGCAGGATGGCATTTTTTTCTCAACTCTGTCCTCTCCCCCCAGCTTGCTTCGTCCGTGAGAGATGAGAGGCGCGATGAGGAGAGGCGAGATAAAGCCATTTCTTTCACTCTCTATGCTATTGCTGTAGGTGCAAGACAGGAGCGTCCTTCTTTCCCTTCCCTTTCTCGTCAAAGACACATATCCGTGGATGAAGAGAAAGGACATGACATCATATGTATATATATATATATGTGTGCATAGTGTTTCTATGTATCACTGTTGGTTTCTATACTTGTATCTTAGAATAGTTATTATTTGATGTCATGTGTATCTCTTATCTTCATCATGCTACATAACTTCAGAGAGGTTGGGGATTTGTTTCCGAGTCGAGGGATGTGGTTTTGGGTACCATTTAAGGCTGGTGAAGGACATCAAAAGGAAAACCGCAAGTTTGGGCGTCCCCCTATTTTGACACATACCCGTGATTAGCTCTGGGCAAATTAGCGAGCTCTCCTTCTTGCGGGGAACACGACCACGAGTAACCCTGCTTTTTAATCTTGGAAGTAGTTCTATTTGATGTCATGTGTATATCTTTAGCTTCATCATGCTACATAGAACCAGAAAGGTTGGGGTGGTTCTGGGTCAGGGATGTGTCTTTGGGTACCTTTCCGGCTGGTGAGAGACATCAAAGGTAAAGCACAAGTTTGGGCGTCCCCGTACTTGATTAGCTCTGGGCAAATTAGCGAGCTCTCTGATTCACGGGGAAAACGAGTTGACCCAGGATGAAGGTTTAGTTACTGGGTCAACATCATTTACTGTATGGGGGCCGACATTCAAACTCACGAAGGGACAATCTCGAAATGGGGAGCTGCTCATTAAATTTCCATGTCAGCTAGGAACTATGGTAATGTCAAAACCAGGATAGATCAAGATTTGATTGTATGATTTAAGTAGAGTTTTGCGCTTGATGCATGTGGACAAACTCCATTGCGGCTGCACAAAGGTTCTGATTTGCAGACATACGTATGACGTGGCTTTTTGTCATTTTGTCATAGGGTTTTCCATTTGAGTCCAAGTGGACCGGAAGGGTCCGCGCCCTGACCCTAGGACTCGGACCCACAACATTGTGACACTTGTTTTTCACTTAATTGCATTGTTGACTCCTGATTAGGGCTTGTCTCAAAATCAGAGAGCCCTCAAAATTTGTGTTTCCCTTGTGGCATCCCTTTCAGACCAACCTAATCAGGGTAGCCTCGAAAAGGCAAACCCACTATTCAAGAACCAGTTGTGCAAGAAGGTTGCTCTCCGGAGCAACCAGACCTTCTCCGGTCTTCTCAAACAGGGCCTCCCTGTTTTAACAAGACTGCACCAGGAAATTTGAAAGAACTTGAGTATGTTCCGACAGATGCTTGCTGTTGTAACTCCCTTTGGACATGCCCTGTAACATGAACTTGTGCTTTTTGTGTTTTCGCAGGGGAGCTGTATTTGGAGTGGTTGGACTGAGCTAGTCAAACTAAGCTAAAGAGTCAGTTGTTGATTGCAGGAGGATTAGTTATTGTAACCTGTTGGTCGCTTATGGTTGGGCAAGCCCCGTTTGTTGGGAACCCTCGTTGGACCATTCAATCTTCTCAGGCATCTATGCGGCCGTGCGGGGTGTGCTGACGACTCTTTGCTTGTACCTTGGCTTGAGTTTGGTTTCTGTCGCCCTGATCGATGGCTGCCCAAGTTCTTGGACAGCGTTCCCTGCAGTTCCCTGCAGTTCCCTGCAGAAGCCAGGGTACCCTGTTGGATGTCCAGTTGATGCATTTTTGGAGCTGATACCCTTTCCGGGGTGGTTTCGAAGGTGAACCTAATCGTTTTTTTTTCACATTGATCCGTCAAATAACCAGTTGACATGCATTTGCTGGGTGGCTGCCGGCTGATTTTTGGTGTGAAGATGTGAAACCTTACCCTTTTGGATCTTTGAGAGGCCTTCTTGTATGCACATCACAGTAGATGTGTTCCCCTTGTCATCCAAATTTGAACCAACTGTTTGGGAGAGTACTATGTGTTTTTTGACCCATGCCCTCCGGTTGTTTGGTAATTCGTCCACATGTACAATAGTCTATGGTCCAATTGACAGGGGCATGGGGGATTCGCCAAAGTTCCTCCGCTTCCCAAATTTGTCCACATCCAGTACGGGAGCCGCATATGTTTAAATAGTGGCTTTAGCCTGCTTAAACATCGACCCCACAGCGCGTTCCGAGGAGACGAGTTCTGGGGATTTGCTCAGGGGCCAGAGGTTTGCCATGTCCGAAAGTTCAAGGGCTTTCATTTGGACGCTTTCCCTAATTATAAGGCGGGAAATTCACTGCACAAGACCCATTCAAGATTAATAGCCACATGTCTTGGTTTATTAGTGGCTGGAACCAACACCAACTTCAACCTCGTAAATAAGTTTTCTTCGTTCATCAGCACTGGTGGCTGGAACCAAAGCTTCTTGAGCCCTTTCAGCCAAGACGTCCTGAGGCTCATGGTGGTTCTTTTCATTTTCGGCCTGATCTTCAAGTCACAGGCGGGCTCAAGCGGTTCCAGATCTCGGCGTCTCGAAGTGACGATGAATTCGCGGGGAAGTGAGGGTTCATGGACATCCTATGCCAACTGGTGTAACAAAGAGTCATTTGCGTAGGCTGGCGTTTGGGTGCCACCCCACAGAGGGTGCCATCGGGAAAAAAAACAAAAAACATCCAAATATGCAGCGTTTTTAAGTTGCACCAGCAAATGGATGCTGGTCCAAAGCGACATGGCCGTTGTTACCTCTTAGTCCAGTTCTGAGATACTTCAAAGATATAGCAGCAGGTCAACCTATGATTTCAAGGTCTTTTGGGGATCAAAGCCACAGGAAGTTCTCCAGGAACTTTGCAAAGGCTCCTGCAGCTGGCTTCTCAAAGTCAGGCAAGCGAGAGGCGCTTCCTGCTATACCCCAGTCTCAAGTCATTGAATTGGGTCTGCATGTTTTGTTAATGTTCAAACGCATGTGGAAACATGAACTGTGTTTGCAATGCTTGACCATAATGGCGCATGCCATTTTGGCTCAAGCTTTGCCCTGGGTTCTTTGAACCCAATTTGTGTGAAAAAGATTTGAGTTTGAACACCCCCGAACTAACCCCGATCAAGCAATGGCTTCCTCGGCAACCTCGGCAACCTCCTTCGAGCTGATTGAGGACCAGACGCTCACCGCGGAGGAGGAAATGGCCAGCCAGGAGGCCCAGGAAATCCGCACACGCGAGGCGGCAGTGGCGGCCGGCCTGGCGTTGGACGAGCCCGAGGCCCCCCCGTCGGCTTCGGCTACCGACGTGATGAACGACCTCTCCAGTGCACTGGAGCGTCTCCGTGTGGCGTTTGCCACACCGACTTCCGGCTTGGGTGCCCCTGGCCCCGCCGAGGAGGTGGACAAGGACATGGAAGATGCGGACGCCACGGAGCGGGCTACTCCACCCACGAAGAGGCTGAAGGGTTTCGTGGCGGCTTCCCAGAAGGCCACGGCTCAGGTGAACAAACCGGTCTCCCTTGTGCCGGTGGAGGGCCGTCCCGGCTACTTCAAGTTAGTGGACCTCCCAGACCTTTTCCCGGTCCTTCCGGCATCGGCGGCCACGTTGCTGAGGGACGTCACGGTGGAGGAGGCGGTCTCCCTGTTCCACAAGTTTGTCGGGAAGAACCTCACGGAGGACTTGGTGATTCGTATCCTGGAGGCCTATGTTCCGATGAAGATCCAGATCCGGCAGGAGGAGGTCTGGGCCTCACAGTTCCAGAGGAACAAGGCGTGCATTGGCACCCAGCGGATGCACAGACTCGATGCCGGCCACTCAGACTACAAGTTCATGTGCAAGGCATGCGGCACGGGGTGGCCGCAGCGGCCAAGCAATGCTGGGTCTGCCCAGGCAAGGAGCTCGTCCCCTTCCAGGCACCCTCGGCTACCTATGAGGCGGACGGCGTCACTTACAACCTGCTGCTCATTGTGGAGGGCAAGCCGACCTGGATCCAGCAGCGGAAAGGGGGAAGCCTGGGTGCCTCTGGCCCCGGTGGTACCCGGGCACAGGCAGACCGCAACCTGGTGGACGGCACGGTCCTGGGGAGAGCTCCTCCGAAAACGGACACGGCAGAGGAGATTACCATGGCAGACGTGGTCCCGCTCAACAGGCGGGTGGACATCCGGCAGGAGATCCTGTCCATGGAGGCGGACGACGAGGCGTTGAAGGTCCGGGAGGAGATCAAGGTCAAAGTGCAGCGGTCCCTGAAGGAGGCGGAGGCTCAGAGCTTCCAGCTCTACCACCCCCAGGTGGACCAGGCGATCCGGAAGAAGGAGGAGCTGCATAAGGCCTTGAGGGAGGACCGGGAACCGACCCCGGAGGAGTCCTCGGCCAGGCGGCGGCACAAGGAGTTGGTCACGGAGGAGATGCTGGACAATGAGATGGCTATCCTGGCGCCTCTCCAGGAGGGCATGCAGGCCCTGCCGTCAGAGGAGGTGGCCAATGAGGGAGCCCGGGCCGTCAGGAAGGTCAACCTGGAGCGGTTCAAGGCCAAGCTGCGAGACCAGTACCTGGAGGGGAAGGGCGTTGACGCCAGCCAGGCACTGGCTGAGGCGATGGGCTCCATTCAGGAGGCTCAGGAGGCGAACAAGCGCACCCAGGACACCAACCAGGCATGGATGCTTAACCACACTCTCAAGCCCTTGGAAGTGTCGGCGTGGCCAGATGATCTCAGGCAGGCACTGGAAAGGGGGCTGTTCTGCCCCCTGGAGCTGGATGACCGTGAGGACATCCCCAACGTGGGAGACATCAAGGAGAAGTATGTCCCCTACATCAGGAGGCTCAGAGAGTCGCAGAACCCATGGAACCAGGAGGCGCTGCTGGAGGCCCGACACCGGCCCCCCCCAAGGGTGCCACTGGCCCTGGGGGGGACCAGCCAATGCCACAGCAGGACCTGGACTCGGAGGAGGGCAAGCTGTCCCTGCTCCTCTGGGCGATGAAGAGGCACCAAGGGGAGCTACGGATGTTTGGGGGGATCTGGAAGAAGCACTCAAGCGGTGAGATCCCCAAGGGCGCGGACCAGCAATTCAAGCTCACGCCGGAGGAGCTTCTGGCCCTGGACACGTGCGAGCAGGACCACATCGACCCAGTCATCTACACGGCCTTGGAGATCCGAGCGCAGGTGAACCGGGGCGAGCGCCCGGCGCCGGAGCAGGTGGTGGGGATCTTCTGGGCGAAGGGCGATGGAGTGTTTTGGACCAGGCAGACGCGAACGTGGGACCTGCCGAGCCTGACGGGGGTGTACGCCCACAGGTTCACTTTCAAGTACATCTACTCGGCCTGGACCACCTTCCCGCTGATCGTGAAGACGCAGCGCCGGGGCCGCAATGCGGAGGGCTCGGCCCCGGACAAGTGGATGGGCAACATCCTCCAGATGAGGAAGGAGGCGGTGCCCTTCCTGGAGAGCCTGGGAATCCCCAAGCCGCGCAGCAAGCTACATCTTCAAGGAGATGGGGACGTTTCTGGCGGCCAAGAATTTCATCGTTAACTGCCCGTTGCCGGTGATGGAGATCCCAGTGGCCCCCGTCCACGACAGCAAGGAGGCGCTGCGCTTCAGGGCGGTCTGCGAAAATCACCCTTCCGCTGTCATCGCTGAGGGCTTTCGACTCGGTATACACCAAGCTGGTGTCGGGCCTGAGTAAGTCCTCCATGGTGGAGGTGAAGGTCAACTGGCGTTGCAACGTGGTCCATGACTGGGTGGGGCAGGTCCCGCAGGAGGCGGCGGGGGCCCTGTACGACCGGTTGGGCTACTCCCAGGACCTCATCCGGCAGCTGGGTTGTGCCTCTGGCCCCGGGGGAGGAGCGGCCAAGGAATCGGACCCCAAGGCCAAGATTCTGGGGGGGGCGGACACCACGCTCCGCGCACCGGACCAGGGCACCAGGCGGTACCCTCCCATCACCACGTCCACGGTCACGGCGGTCGCGGGCCGGAAGTACATCAACAAGCACTTCCCTAAGGAGACGAAGCACGTGTTTTGGGCCTCCGTGGAGTGCGGCCTGGTCCTGCCCAGCATCAGCGCCTGGGAAGTGGTGGGCAAGGAGAAGTTCAAGACCACCGGGGGCTACATGTGCAGGTTTTGCAAGGGCTTCTGGAGGGCGAGCCGCGGGGGGACCAGGCTGCTCCAGATCACGGGATGGCACAAAGACAAGGCCACATGTGGACGAGCCCCCGGAGCAGCTATATAATCAGTGGATCCGGGACAGGATGGAGTTCTACAAGAGGGTGGAGCCGACGGAGCCTCCCAGGGATGAGCGGCTAGTCCTTGGCGACGCGAGCACCCCGCGCATGCGCTTCAGCTCCTCGAATGGCCTGGGGGATGTCTCCACTGCCTTGTGGTCGGTCATTTTGAGCAACCCGGAGAAGTCAGGGCTGGCGGCCATCCACTCGGTGGCAAAGGAGGCGATCTTGAAGGGTGAGAGCCGCTAGGTCGTGTCTCACAACCTTTTTGGATGTGGAGTCGTGAGATCTCTTCCCACCGGGACTTGGGTGCCTCTGGCCCCGTCTCGGGTGGGGGGAGGAGTAAGGGTGTCTCCTTTTGGGTTCATCTTTCACCTGGGTTTCCCCCCTGTTCAACGCGTCACGACTGCCGGTTTGCCTCGATCTGGAGGCTGCACGCTTTGGCTGCCCCAAGGACGGGCCATATCGGCCACAGTTTGGAGAAAGTGGCTGCGGCTGACTCTGGGTTCCCTGAGGTCCCCTTGGGGGGTTTTGGGGAATCCCCCGCCGGGTTGGTCTTCCCCCCTCCGTGGTCCTTTTTGGGGATTTCCGGGGGTTGACTTTTGGGTCCTGTTGGGCTGCATGTGGCCTGCCTGCCCCATTTGCACTCGGCATCCTGCGGGGTTGGAACATGCGTGCAGTGTGCCGTGGTTGGGTCCCGGCCGTTCGATAGGAGGCTCGAACCCCCGTTTTCATCATGGCTAGGGTCTCTACAAAGTTTCTTTTGCGCCCGCCTTACACTCGTCTTTGGGACCGCATTCCAAGGGTCCTGTGGGACACGTTGGCGGATGAGTCCTTCTCCCCGAGACAGACGGACGGGGAGCTGCTGGTCCTGATGTGCCTGCGCCATGGCACGGCAGAGGAAGGGAGGCAGCTGGGCGGGGAGCCGGCCATCCGCTTCGCTCAGCTCCTGGAACTCTCGGGCATTCCGGTGGGCCAAGACGACCAAGTGGTACCAACGGACTACTTCAACGGCCTGGTGGCGTCGGCGGGCAGGCTTCCCCAGCCTTTGTCCGCGGCGGACCTGGCCGACCTTTGGGATAGCCTATGGTTCCTCCTCATGGCGGCTGCGGATGGCAAGCCGAGCGAGAACTTTTCCCCGCTGGAGAATGAATGGGACCGCCAGGACCAACTGAGGTGGTTCTCGCGAGATGACCCACCCCCACTTCAACAGCCGGAGCTTCTGAAGTGGAGGCACTGGCGGCCCGGGAAGATCAGGGAAATGGAGCCCACGACCCAGCGAGCGCTGGAACTCCATATGCGCGGAAA